GGAACATTCCAGTGACTTTCAAGTCATGTCTTGGTCCCCAAATTCACCTGACCTTAATCCAATAGAGCATTTGTGGTCCTACTTGGAAAACCAAATTCGTGCTGCCGCGCTACCCCCTCGCAATGTGAGGGAATTACAGGACCAGCTGGTGAGCGCTTGGTACCAGATACCTCAGACTACCTATCAGCACCTTGTGGAATCAATGCCACGGCGGGTGCTAGCAGTTTTGAGGGCTAAAGGTGGCCCTACATGTTATTAGCAGGGTGGTCATAATGTAATGACTCTTCGGTGCATGTAAAAAGATCTAAAGATTTTCTAAATCCTGGAGAAGAAATTAAAAAAAATTCAGTTTAATGCATAATACATTTATAAAATGCATGCATGTATAAAAATTTACATAAAATAAACTTTTTTTTTACTTAAGTATTTTTTTTATTATATAAGATCATTGTTTCACTAGATACTAATGGTTTAGATCATTTTGTGAATATTTTCCAGGTTGGTCCCGCTGATGGACACGAGGCTATTAAAGAAGTAGCTAATCTAACTGTTTTGTGTAAGAATAAATTTTTTTTTGTTTAATTTATGTTTCTCTAAGTGATGCTCAAACTAAAGGTAAGTATTTAGTTTTCGGTACCCCTAAACTGCAATTACGAAGGGTGACAGAAAAGATTCAGTTCTCAATATAAAAAATGCACTTTACAAATTTTTTACTTTTACTCAACAAAATTTCATTGTGGTTAAATAAATTTTTGAAGTGTTTTTTTGGAAAAAATTAATTTTTATGAAATTTTTCAATGGGATAACTGCTTTTTTTTTTAACAATAACACATACCAGTAAAAGTGTAGTTTATATTATTTGAATTAAAGTTAAATATACACTGGGGAAAATTTTTTATTGTTTTCCGTTGCATATAATTTCTGAACGGATCTTAGAAATTTTCGCATCGCCGATGGAAATGGTAGGTAGAAGGCGATAATTTCAGCTTATGACACGATATGTATTAACCACGATATGTTATAGTCATATGTATTTTGTCTTAAGTGTTATTTTCGAAGAAGCAGGCAAGTGTATGTGCATGTACATAAATCTATGTGTCCTTTTTTTTAAAAAAACTTATACATTCAAACAAAAAAAAAATTAACTAAACTAAAGATATTATTTTTAAAAAATTCTGTAGTTTTTCGAATAAATCTAATTTCAGATTTGAAGTACCCACATCTGAATTAGATTAGAATAAAATTTTTATACAATTAACTGTTTCAGAACGAGTGATACCGAAGCCTTGTAACCGAGGCACGCAAAACTGGTCAAAGTTTTCTAATTTTACCGTGGTCCATTTATGGGTGGGACGTTGATTTTAAATTGCTTTGATTGCAGAAAACGAAAAAAAAAATTTTTGAAAATTTATTTTCAATTTTCAGTTTTAATCTATGATTTATGTTACTTTCAGTGCCCCCCACATCCATTAAAATTATAGATAGAACAAATGGGACGGTTGTAAAAGTGAAAATGGCAAGCAGTTTATCGTTAGCCTGTGAGGTTACTGGAGGAAAACCAGCACCTAAAATTGTATGGAGAAGGAATTCATATCAGCTATCAGAAGGTATTAATTATAATCATATTTTTAAAATTCAAACAGCAATAATATTTTAGTAATATTTTACTGAAACAAAATCATACATTAATGATTTAATTCAACTAATTATAAAACCAACATGAAATCAAAAAGCCTTTTAAAGAAAAGCATATAAAGCGTCGTTGCCTTGTCTATTTCAGTGCAAAATATTTCTGAAAGTTTGGAAGATGAGTTTTGTAAGATCTACCGCCTGAAGACTGTATACTGTATAGGATGTCCTCTGGTGGTGATCCGAGTTTCAAAAGTGCAGCTAGAATAGCGGGATAGTTGAAAATGTATCTTAGAGTCATTTGGGTTTGGGACGGCAATGTCTGCATACGTACCGCCTTATAAACGTATCGTCGTATTTGGTCACATCTGCATACGTGTCGCAGTATCTGGTGGTGTTGTTTGGAGATATTTTCACGTCTTTGAAATGTCTTCTTGCAAGGAGTCTTGCTATTGCGGAGGAGATATTTTTAGTACAGTTAAGATCTAGAATGGTGGGTTCTTAAAAGTTTCCCGAAAGTGTTTACTTTTGCGTTTTCATAGATGACGATGAGGAGCTAATCCAGTACGCATTTTAGTCCACTAAAACCTTTTTAAAAAAGACATTAGCTCAATCATTTCCCTCAATACCATAGCCACTTGGGCAGGAATCTACCAGAAAAGTGCAGATTTTTGTCCTTCTTTTTTTGCCTGCTTTGAAAGGTTGTTGATGTTTTGAGTAAAATTTGTTTCCCCATTACATACGGCTTCTAGTACCGATCTAGAAGTAGAGTAAATAATCAATCCTTACAGTTGCGTCTTCAGAATAGTGTAAGAGGTAGAATTAAAAATCTTCTGTGATTGTAATCAGTCCGCCAGTGAAATTCAAAGCTATTTGGCCAGTTTAAATTTTGACTTCAATTCTTTCACCCGAAGGTTGAGAAATAAGGATACCTGCATCACCTCTATCACAGTTATTATAAAAGAACCATCTACATAGATTATTGCTCTACATTTCAGGGAAAATTAATTAATTTTGTCTCTGCTGCAATAGCATCTGATTGGGTTCTTTCTTTGAGCATGGTTGTAATTATAAAGGTATATAATAAATACAGGTATAAGATACTTATAAAGTATATGATAAAAGGTATAAAGGTACATAATATGTAAAAGAATATGTAGTTTAGTGTATAATAATGTTAAGTAGAAGCACATGGTAACTGTATATAATTAAATGTATAAAATCAAAAAGATTTCAATGGTTGGAACGCATAGAAAAAATGAACCACAACAGATGTACAAAAATGATCTTAAATTGCCAATGTCATGGTCAGTAAAAATGGGGAACACTGAGGAAGAGATAGGTAGATGAGATTGAGAAAAAACTGAAGACCTTAAAAATAAGAAATTATAAAGCAAAAACATGAAACTGACGGTTTTGGTGTAGAATTTAGGAGATCATGGTCTTACACGGATTAAAGTTCCAGAGAGTAATAGTAAGTACGTTAATGAAAATCCCAGACCACAGATTTTTTGAGAATAAATTTCAAGACTTTAGTGTAATGTTTAATAATATATTAGCATTATCTAAAAGCTTAGTTGACAATATTAATACAGTAAAATATGTATAAGTTGACTTCTTGCAGTGCACTGCCTATTTTGTTTAACTAAAACAAGGGGTTAACTTATGGAGGTAATTGTTTTTTTTTTTTAATAATTTCTCTGAATTCATATTACCAAACAAAATATATTAAATGTAATTAAATTTTTTAAGCTTAATTTTAAGATTTTTTTCAGAATTAAAGTGATATTAATAACACGAACGAATTAAAATTTGTTGCATAAACTAAGCTGATTCAACGATGCACCCTCTTTTTTTTTAAATAAACTAAAAGTGATTCCCTCTTATAAGGAAGCGTTTTCGGTCAAATATGGGTATATTCGAGATTATAACATTTGTATAATGTGATAATGTTTTAGTGTTAAAAAAAAATACTTGTTGAGTTATAAAAGATTTTTAATGAATCTTTTAAAAAAATTAAAAGTTCTCAGTTCATAATTTTTTTAAAAAATGTCTGCCATAGATATTTAATAACAATTATCACAGTGTAAACATGTATAAGCAAATATTCTGTGAAAAAAATGAAGCAATATCTTGGTTAGATGTAGAGACAGGGTACATCGAAAAAGGTCAGTTTCAGCATTATTGGTATATGCCCTACAGGATTCCCTTAAGTTCAGCAAAAATGTTCGGTCGTGGCGATTTCACACTGGATTATGTAAGAAGACGGTATAATAGTTAATATTAAATAAAATTTTTTAAAAAGAAAATATGCATGACTGGTTTTTTAGCATGACAGTAATTATATATAGAACCAATATCATTTTTAAAAAATTATATTAGGTTCACTCAGGGACCAATTAAGACAAATTCAGGCCCAAGGCCCACCCAATTTTCCGGGCCCTTATTTTGAAATTAAATTACTGATGAGTAGTCCTAACAATGAAAAAGAATCTATTGAATTGCATGATTCAAGAGAAACATTCTAAGAAATTTTGAAAGCAGAGAATTGAAGATTATTTTTCTAAGATAAAGTTTACATATCTATAAATTAAAGAAGAATATAACACAACAAAACAATGTTATGTCAAAATAAAAATAGTTTGTTGGCCAAAAACAATTCAAATCAGTGATTTTTGCTAAAAATCACTGATTAGCTGAATTATTTCTTTTATTTATTCAATACTTAAACCAACACAAAGCTAGCCCACCTTTCACCAGACTTTTTACTAATTTTTGAGGCCCCCTCAAAAATTGTGGGCCCTAGGCCCATACCTATTGAGCCTAGGCGATAATCAGGCCCTGGGTTCACTTCAACACTGATACTCGCTAAATTAATTTGTTGCATAAAAATACTCCCGAAAAAGTATTTTTTCTTGTGGTTCATTTATGAAGTGTTTATTATAACATTCAATAATATTATTCCATGCGTGATTTTTTTTCTCCGATCAAAATTCAGGGTAGACAGGTGGGCAGGTTAAAAGCTTTTGTTCTTCTTTATTCTATAAGATGAATTCGGATCTTGATTAAATAGATCAACGTAGACTGGTGGTCAATCATTAGTGGTCAAATTAATAGATTTCACTGTTAATTGGCAAAATGACCATTATCTATCTAGTATTCATCTCTGGTGGAACATTCAAAAAGAAAATGAAAGAGAGGAAAAAGAAAAACCCAGAGTTTTGGCAAAATATCAGAAGTCCCCTTCTTAAAATCAATCGGCTAATATTCTGTTTAAAGCATTTTCAGAACTTCTTCAGCTGGAAACCTTCCAAACAATCGCAAAATAAGAATGACAATTAATTATTCTTTTTTTTTTGGGCGAAATATTCAATCCTTTTTCATTTACATTTTAAGAACGGCTTTTTAAAAATAATATTATTTATTCAACAAAAAGAAAGATAATGAATGATGGTTAAAGTTTCGTTAATCATCATAAACTACAACTCTACACTAGTTTTATTCAGGGTATGTAGAGAGGGGGGGGGAAATACGACACTTTGAATAACTTTTGTTTTAATGATCTGATCGGACTTACACATACTAAAAACGTTAAACTCAATTATGTTAATTAATTAGTGCTCACTATGGTTAAGTTCCGAAACAGGATGCTTTTAGATTCAAAGATAGCTTCAGTGAAAAAAAAAACATTTCTAATAATGTTTATTAAATATCCATAGTTTATTTCACTTTTTACGTTTTTGATAATTCTAAATCTAATTGAGTAATTTAAAACATTCTTGTAGCACTTATGAAACTTGTAGATCCAAAGATAGCGTCATTGAAAAAAACCATTTTTAATAAGTATTTATTATTTCTCATTCCTTTATTTAATAACAGTTGAAAAAATATGAATTGCAAGCTATATAAATTTTTTAAATCATTTTAAACTATGTGATTTTAAATCATAAAAACACATCGGTTGGAATCTTAAATATTAAAAAATTGGACTAACTCTGGAACTATGTCACGGAATTTAGCCTGAATTCGTTGAAAATTGCAAGTGTTGTCTTTAATCGATCATCTACATTTTGCTCAAGACATTCAAAACTTTAAGACCTCTCACTTTAAATCCAACTCCCACCTGCGAAAAATATGCAAGTTGTAGTAAGGTAATTATTAGAGCAACTGGAAATTTCTTTGATTTAAATTTAAAAATTTTCACCGGAGGATAAGAAACTTTTATATGAGAATTTAAATTATTAAGTTATTTTGAGATCAAAAACACGTTTTGTGATATATTCTCTTTTAAATTAGAAAGCCATTTTAAAATCTGAACTTTTATAATTTTAAATATTTTGGTAAACCACTGAGAGCCCTGTAAAGCATTTAACTTTTTTATATGTTCAGTATTTTTATTGACAATTTAGATTGTAGAAGAGTGCAAACGAGCTCTTTACATTAGCTTATAGCTCTGTACTGATAATTTATTCTAATTAAATGAAATACATTAATTGAGAGTTAACATCTTATGTTTGTTTCTAATTTTATGAACCCAATTTATTAACATTTTCAGAAAACATACGAATATCTATCACTGATGAGGAAGATGGTCGCCAGAAAGTTGTATCAACATTGAATTTGAAGCCAACATCAGATGATCATGGTGTTTATTATGCCTGCGAAAGTGAAAGCAATTTTACGTCTATTATGTTATCAGCCGGCGTCAGTTTAGACGTACAATGTAATTACATTTCCTAAATAAAAGTCATATTTAGTTCGTATTTAACATGAAAGGCATAATTTAACATGTATGGATGGCATTTCTACAATAATAGATAAGAGGTTAAAATAAAATTTGTATAAAATCTTTCGACATTAATCTATACGGAATTTTCCTTAATCACCGCTATTAATGTAGATATTTTGAATCCTAATCAAAAATAAAGAAAAAATATGCATACTTTTGGGTTGAAAATTAATTTCGAAGCAAGGATATAACATAAAATGCTATGGATTAAAAACAGCAATACCAATTTGATTTTCAGGCAGAACTTAAAATTGGACAACTTCCCGGACACAGATCTCTTGAAGTCCGTTTCAAACTAACCTGACGATTCCATTCGAAAACTAACTGAAAAGTTTAATAGGTTTATCTTAACAAGGAGACTGGAGATATTCTTTTTTCTTCTTTCAGTTATAAATGAATGATATTGTGCCGAATTCAAATGCTTTAAAAACAAACCTTTTATTTTAATACGAAATATTTTCCAACGCTGCACCGACTATATTTGTTCGCCACTTTTTTATGACAATAAAAATTGATGCAAAATACAGAAATCGAGAATTTGATTGGTGCATTTTAAGTAGAACGATCAAACCACATTCAGTAGGAATGCTCTCTAAGTTTGAAAAAAACCTTGAATATTATTTTATTACTCTTCAGGATCTGAACTTTTGTTATTGTAGTTTAGTTTCCTGACAGAAATTTTTAAAATATCGATAACAGAATTAATATTGAACCGTTAAACAATTAATTAACAACCGTTAAAGATACATGATAATTTTCTCAAAAGCTGAAGAAATTTGGAGCTGGCTCCAAAACCTTAATGTCGCGGAACCGACCTTATGTTAATAGTCGTCTATTCAGTCTTCTTTGTTTCGTATTATCTTCTCTCGTTTTAATGGGTTAAAATACCGTAAATAAATTAAAGCGACTTCAGTAGTTCGAAAGTTTTCACTTTCTTTTTTACCAAGAAAATTCTGAGAGCAAAAGCATTGCTAAAAAATGACGGAAATATTAGAAACCGCCAATGATTTCTCGCGAATAATTTGATAATTTCATTGGTCTATAGATTTCTTAAATTATGCACCTCTTGAATTCCAGATAAGCAACACAAACATTTTGACTATACGTTCCAATTCATGAACGTAGTAGTTTATTTTCGCTCGCTTACGAAATAATAAAATTTGCAATATATATTACAATATTTGTAAAATAAATATTGTCTACATACCTGTATGATCTTCTAAACTTAAGTCTACTAAACCTTGCATGCTCTTCGATCATTTAATTCCATGAATAATAATTTAAAAATCCTTGAATTACAGATCCTCCTGGAAGACCAACTATAGAAGGATATAGAGTACATGAGAAAATCAGATCTGGGGATACTGTCAGTATCAGATGTGTTTCTCGTGGAGGTAATCCCTTGGCTTGGCTGGTATGGACTAGAAATGGGGATTTTGTAGATCATTCATACATGACTTTAGATGGTGAGGCTGTCAACGAGATTACATTTACAGCTTCACCAACAGACGACAAAGCTCTTTATTTATGCAAAGCTTCTAGCTCAATGACACCAGTACCAATGGAAAAATCTATAACATTAAAAGTACTCTGTAAGTAGAAAGCTAGTTATTTTTCTGTATATTGATAATAGCTGTCACAATGGTTTCTATCATTTGCTTGGTTTTTTAGGTTATACACACACAAAAAAAACCTTGCTAATAACTATGAAAATAGATCCAGCCGATAGCTACTTCTACATTGAAAGTATGTTAAAATAATTTAATTTGTGCGGTGTGGAGAAGTTTTTTCATTCGCTTAACTGTTCAAGATATGGGCGGAATACGCAAAAAGTCTATCGAGATTTTCCACACAAGCCTTACATTTAACAGCAACTTAACAATTACTTTCTACTCTTGAGTGTCACTGTAGTTTGGAGGAAGATTTTGGCTTATGTACTGTAAAGCTCAAGTAGCGTTAATGTTAGTGTTAGGGGAAACGTAACGCTTTTCTAAATCTCTCTATACGAGTCCAAAATTTCGACAGCTGTTCTGACTAAACTATTGGGACCACATCTACCAGATTGCGTCATCCCTATATTTTGATAGTCAGAAATCCAAAATCGCTGGGAGAAAAAAGGTTTTCATATTCAGAGAAAATAGTCTGATTTCGTAACTTTAAATAGTGTCAACACTAATTATTAATATATTTGAGTTGATCTCTTTGAACCTTAAAGATTGGCCGATTGATTCCTGAAAATTAGATGATTATAACAAGAGTTATGGCTTTTTTTTGTACCCTACACAGAGCGCAAGAAAAAAAAAACGGTTCTTACGTATTAGCGCAACCAGACCAAAATTCGCATAAATCGCCAAATTTGGCGACCCTACTTACGCCAAATTTGGGGTCCCTACTTACGGCAACCCTACGTGTTATATGTGGTTTTTCGTAAAGAAATTATTTTGCTTACTGGTTAGATTGAATGCCGCGAAATACTTTAACTATGGGTATTTGGGATCTGCCGGCGAGTGAGAAAGATGCTGTTGAATTGTTACAGGGATATGGAATTATACCGAACGAACGTACTTGTAAAAATTCTCATAAAATGAAACTGTATTTTGGAAAGCAAATTTTCTGGAAATGTAACGTCGAAGAGTGCAATCAACACTTGGGTGTGAGAGCCGGAAATTGGTTCTTATTGCAACTTATTCAAATTCGAAACCGGAAGGGTTTAATTGCTATTTTATATTTTAAAACAAAATAATATAAAAAACTGCATTAAAAATTATCTGTAATTAATAAATGTACATTTTCTTTCTATTCATACTTTCTTACTCAAACTTACAAATCGCGCCAACCTGGTTGCGATAATACATAAGTACCAAAAAAACGTTGCACCTTTAATAACTGTTGATATATTAATTGAATTTTCTAATAAAGGAATGAGTTTCTAGTTTAACTTTACCTTTAATTTTTAATACTATGTGTCTTCACAACGCATGCGGGATAATAACCATACAATTAATAGTATCGCTAAGGAGTGGAAAATGAGGAGAGCGTTAAGCATAACGTAAGACAAGTGCTTTGCAAAATCTCTTGAATGTGCTTGCAAAATCTCTCTCTCTCAATAATATGAATTTTAACGGTAAAAAGAGCAAACTTAAATATGGAAATTAGTGATGTTTCATGTTACGGACAGGAAATAAGGGTCAGACAGGAAGAAGTATTTTCTGTGAATAAATAAACCATTTACTGTACCTGAAATTTAGAAGTTACGTTCTGATTAATTTAATCAGGAGACAAGGCGGAAGTTCTACCCTCGTGATGCTAAATTTAGTTTTTGTTTATTTTGCATTATCATTTAAACTACTTCATATAATAAGGAAAGCATAATTATGAAACTTGGTGGCTCAGGGGATAGAGCGTCCGCCATCCAATGAGGTGAACCGGGTTCGAATCCCAGCGATAGCTGATCGATACAAATTCCGCACCCGGTTAGAACTAACCACAGTGTTAGACGGATTAAGGGCTAGAGTCCCCTTACCGCCAGGTTAACCCTGAGAGGTCTCCGTCGTTTTTCTCACTATGTAACTCAAATGCGAGTTAGTTCCATCAAAAAATCCTTCAGAAAGAGAAATGGCTCCCAATACCTAATCCATTAGATCCCTTATCTTGTAGATTGGGTTTTAAAATACAAGGCTAATGAGTTGAACATTAATTGTCATAAAACCTAAATTGGGTCAGCTCAGCTGTGCAACGACGTTTATCAAAAAAAAAAAATTTTTTTTTAAAAACTGGTAACATTATTCTCCGCAAAAGAGGTTTTGTTTAATAAATTTTAGTATTTAAAATTGAAAATAATTGAAATAAACTAATGAGTTGCAAGGTACAGGGTACTCAGATATCTTTCCATATTCTGGCATTCTTAATCCATTAATGCCTAACCACAAAAAAGTGGTCAGTTGTCTATATGAAAATCACAAGCAGTAGTCGAAAGAAGCGCCAAGTAGTGAAACTACTGCAGTCGCTACATTTTTTCGTAATTTGAAGTGTGCTACTTTTTTCTTAAATAAATAGTGTAGTAAGTAGGGCGATATTAAAAAAAACAGTTGTTTGTGGCGATTCTTGATAACTACTTTTTATGTTAATTTAGTATATGAGCAGGATTCTCGATGGTTTAAACAGGGTTTGTGATGTAATTAATATCTTAGAGGAAATAAAAGAGCATTAAACACTTGAGGAAATTGCACGTATTCGATAATTTCTCAGCATTAAATATTCGTTGTTGAGAAATTCATAAAAAGTTAAAGGCTAAATGAACAAATTTAAAAAAATGCTTAAAATAATACACTGGCTTATGTAAGTATGCATAAATATTATCTTAATAATTCCTCATGCTTAAATATGGGCCAATTTTTCTTTATTCAAAACCATTCTGAACATAAGTGTAAATTAATTTCTACAGCAGTGTAAATTATACAGGTGCAATTTAACACATTGCTGACCGGTCACGAGTTAACTCGTGTTTTCGCGGCCAAGCGTTGATGACCGGTCACGAGTTAACTCGTGTTTCCGTGACCAAGCGTTTTAAAATAGTCTCGTGGTGACTATTTTAAAAAGTGGGCGTAATTTTCCTTAATTTCAATTTTACTATTTAATTCTCTACCAATTTATTATAACTTCACGAAACTTGATACATTTGTAAAACTTCCGATGTGCCATTACACGAAGGTGATTGTCATACTTTTTATCATACGAAAAAGAAATATTAAGAGTTGAATAATAAATAAAAATTTTTTAAAGTTTATTTATATTGTTTTACGACCAACATCCGCTTTCAAAAACATGGGGAAATTTTCAGATAAGTCGCCGGTCAGCAATGTGTTAATATCTCTAACAAAATTCATCAGTTCCTTACAGTGGCGTAGCGAGCTTAACTCGCGCCCGGGGCACAATACCCTTTTAGCGCCCCCCCCCCCATTCGAAAACCATAAAATATTATATGTAAAATATACTCGCAAATAAATAAATAAACAAAGTAAAATAAATAAAGTCATAGACTCAAGCTAGGCTTTAAATTTGAGACAAAAAATGTAGTTGAGAGAACAAGACTAGATTTTGAAATGTATATGATCATCTAGAATTAGTTCAAAAGANATTAACAACCGTTAAAGATACATGATAATTTTCTCAAAAGCTGAAGAAATTTGGAGCTGGCTCCAAAACCTTAATGTCGCGGAACCGACCTTATGTTAATAGTCGTCTATTCAGTCTTCTTTGTTTCGTATTATCTTCTCTCGTTTTAATGGGTTAAAATACCGTAAATAAATTAAAGCGACTTCAGTAGTTCGAAAGTTTTCACTTTCTTTTTTACCAAGAAAATTCTGAGAGCAAAAGCATTGCTAAAAAATGACGGAAATATTAGAAACCGCCAATGATTTCTCGCGAATAATTTGATAATTTCATTGGTCTATAGATTTCTTAAATTATGCACCTCTTGAATTCCAGATAAGCAACACAAACATTTTGACTATACGTTCCAATTGATGAACGTAGTAGTTTATTTTCGCTCGCTTACGAAATAATAAAATTTGCAATATATATTACAATATTTGTAAAATAAATATTGTCTACATACCTGTATGATCTTCTAAACTTAAGTCTACTAAACCTTGCATGCTCTTCGATCATTTAATTCCATGAATAATAATTTAAAAATCCTTGAATTACAGATCCTCCTGGAAGACCAACTATAGAAGGATATAGAGTACATGAGAAAATCAGATCTGGGGATACTGTCAGTATCAGATGTGTTTCTCGTGGAGGTAATCCCTTGGCTTGGCTGGTATGGACTAGAAATGGGGATTTTGTAGATCATTCATACATGACTTTAGATGGTGAGGCTGTCAACGAGATTACATTTACAGCTTCACCAACAGACGACAAAGCTCTTTATTTATGCAAAGCTTCTAGCTCAATGACACCAGTACCAATGGAAAAATCTATAACATTAAAAGTACTTTGTGAGTAGAAAGCTAGTTATTTTTGTGTATATTGATAATAGCTGTCACAATGAGTTCTATAATTTGTTTGGTTTCTTTAGGTTACCCGAAAAACCTAAGCCCGGGACTGTCAATTGACGCAATTTTAAATGCCCCTGTGACTTTGAGTTAACAAGAATCGCGTATTCAAGCCAGTCATTATGAATACTATCGATAATTAATCACTTTGGTCCCACTTTCACTCTTGAAGCATTGATGTTACTTTAAAGGAGGGAAACACATATTTTCGAAGTAATTAATTTCTTAGAGGAAATAAACGAGCATTAAACACTTGACGAAATTGCACGTATTCGATAATTTCTTAGCATTAAATATTCGTTGTTGAGAAAGCATAAAAAGTTCAAGACTAAAAGAACAAATTTAAAAAAATGCTTAAAATAATACACTGGCTTATGTAAGTATGCATAAATATTATCTTAATAATTCCTCATGCTTAAATATGGGCCAATTTTTCTTTATTCAAAACCATTCTGAACATAAGTGTAAATTAATTACTACAGCAGTGTAAATTATACAGGTGTGATTTAACACATTGCTGACCGGTCACGAGTTAACTCGTGTTTTCGCGGCCAAGTTTTGATGACCGGTCACGAGTTAACTCGTGTCTCCGTGGCCAAGCGTTTTAAAATAGTCTCGCGGTGACTATTTTAAAAAGTGGGCGTAATTTTCCTTACTTTTCAATTTTACTATTTAATTCTGTACGAATTCATTACAACTTTACGAAATTTGATATATTTGGAAAACTTGTTGTGTGTCATTTTCACGCCTGCCAACTTTTAATCCTTTCAAGGATGACTTTCCTCAGTGCTAGTAAATTTAAATTTAAAATGCAATTTTAGACAGTAACATTTGCTGTATTTTGAACAGGCTTATCCGGATTACTAAAACAGTATTACATATTAATATATATGCTTAATTTTTTAAAAAATAGTGGTGGGTTAAAAATATTATAAGTTAAGTTTGAAAATGCCAGGAATATGTAGAAAGCATATATTTTACTACCATTTTAAATATAGAAATAAAATTTTACGCCAAATGCGTAAAAGTTGGCAGGTATGCATTTCACGTACGTGATTGTCATACTCTTTATTATACGAAAAAGAAATATTAAGAGTTGAATAATAAATAAAAAAATTTTAAAGTTTATTTATATTGTTTTACTTCCTACATCCGCTTTCAAAAACAGTAACATGGGGAAATTTTCAGAAAAGTTGCCGGTCAGCAATGTGTTAATATCTCTAACAAAATTTATCACTTCCTTAAAGTAGTCACTAAAATTCTATAGCAATTTTAGTCACATCATTTTAAAAAAATGATAGAAGTTGTAGTTAATTAAATTAGGAACAAAGTGCTTGCAGTAAACAACAAAAATAATGTCTCCTATAACTGAAACCCTCCACAAGATACTTAAATGTGGTTTGATTAGACCACTATGAAATTAAATGAGTTTACGAAAGAAGCATTTAATACAAAGTCTAGTAAAAATAAGATAGTGGTAGCAAATATAAGTCTAAAAATTTGTTTAATTTTTTAATATGATTGGTTTGTCTTATTTACTTGTCAAACACTACAAATTTAATTCACAAATATATATGATAAATTTCTCTCAATTACTTAAAAAAAAGAATTAGGATTCATGAGCACAACTGGTTTACTTTTTAAATAGTCTGCGCAGACCACTGATAAAGAACTGTAAGGAGGCTTTCTGATGTTAGAGGTAATGCCACTGATCACTAGTATGAAAACGTAATAATATGTTAAATTTACACCAAGGGGATATTTCTTTCTGTTACTTATCACTCTAGTTTTAGAAAAGAAGAATAAGTTAATTTCAATCCAACTATGTTATCATTAATATTAATATATTAAGGTATACAATATTTACTTGTTTTCTTAATATGAATTCTAATAATGGTTGTATAAGAGTTTCATTATGAATTCTAATAATGAAACTCTTATACAACCAATTTTTTCTTAATTGAAAAAAATTATTCATCCTCTTATAAGTAAGGACGAAAAGATAGTTAAAGTTACCATTATACTTATATTGATTGTTAGACGCTCCGTCATCTATCACTATTGAAGTTCCAAAAGAAGCAAAGCCTGGCGATGTCATCAGTGCAACTTGCAAGACTGGAAGGAGCAATCCCGCTGCAGAAGTCACGTGGGTCGTAGATGGAGTCCCATTTATTGGTGAGAACATCATAGAAGAAGATGAAAATGGTGGATGGACTTCAACTTCCATGCTGAACGTTAACGTCACCAAACAGGTCTGAATTTTATTGTTTTAGAGCATTTCTGTTATCAAAAAATTGATCTGAAAACTTTCGTGTTTTAACTACTATTTTAATTTTTTTTTTAAGGAAAATGTTAATGCTATATCAAATTCATCTGCTGTGCTCTCTTAAAAATATCTTAAAGAGTGGTAGAGATTTAAAACTAAAATTTTACTGAATTTTGAATAGCTAATATCAAGGTAATTGGATCTAGGTCAAGTTAACACGTCGAATGCCTCGTTAATTTTACATGGCTTGCCCGTCTGGCCAAACGGTTTAATAATTACAAACTAAATTAGCAAGTATCAGACAGATTCTGCTAGTTTTCTTAGAGGTTTAGCATGATGTGTAAAAAAAGGGATAAATTAAGTAAGACCACGAATTTTTAGAAATAGTGGTGGATAAAAATCTACGAAATTGAATTTATTAAACCAAGAATCACAATTTATAAACTACAACTTGAAAATATTTATTCGCTGTCCGGAGCAAGTTCGCATGTCTGTGTATATAAATAAAACTATTTTTGTGTGTTTTATATTGCATTAATTTCTTCAAACCATTTTAGTAACGATAATAATATTAAAAAAAATTAAAAATTCACTCGAATTAAGTGTTTCTAATAATCTTGGCTTCATCGGTCACCGGTGACCCCCGTGGCGCAACGAACAATTAAAACACCAGTCAAATGGCGGGCCACAACTTTATCAAAATTGCCGGCAAGGTGGCCGAGCGGTTAGCGTGCCTAACTGCGAAGCCATAGGCTGCGGGTTCAAATCCCGCTCTGAGCATGGATGTTTCTCTCTCTCTTTGTGCTGTCCTCTGTTGTGCGTGTGTATGATGTGTGAATGTGGCCCACCCTATAAACGGGTTTGTGGCAGTGTGGCGTGGGCAATGTTCCTCGCCTCCGTGACTTTGGTTCACAGGTGCCCACTGGGTAACGCGAAATGAGCAACAATTCTGGCATAGTATAGGCAAGATACAAATTCAGTGCCTGCCATTGGAAGAAAGAAAAAAAAAACTTTATCAAAATTTTATATAGGACTCTTTTATGTTAAAAGGAACATTAAATATTACAGTCAGATTTTTATCAAAGATTTTTTAATATTAAAAAGCAAAATAACAAGCATTACAAATAGTGCTTGTTACGTATCATTTTGAATCTTCTCTTAATCAGAAACTTAATGACAAGATTTTTGTTCGTTTAAATTTAATTCTGTGATAAATTAAAAAATTCTTTCGACTTATTAGGAATTATAGCAACAAAAAAAAATTTATTAAGCATCTGAAATTAATTTTCTTTTCTTTTCCACTCATGCGATATTCAATTCAAGGAATTTAAATAAAACATGATATCCATTCCCTCTTTAATGCGTTTTAAAATTTAAAAATGTAAACAATTTCGTCCAAAATGAGTGGTTTCAAAAAGTTAAATGGGAGAATTTCTTCGAGAAAATTCTTGATATGCACTTGCTAAGTTATATCCACTAAATACAAAAAAACGAAATAAAAAAGAGAAATATACACGATTATTTTTGCATTTGAGTACATGTTTTCTTGCATACAAAACCTGAGAGATAAAGTTTTTTGCACCGTTGGTATGTTAAGTTTCACAGAAGCGAGGAAATTAGGTTCTTTAAACGAAAGAAAAGTATTTTAAGCCCATATAAATTTTTTACGAAAATTGTCAGCAGGAAAACGACAACTAATATATTTTAGTTCGCGGGCCGGATCATCACCTCCTACATCAAGAAGCCTCCACACTGTCTTTTATAAGAAGTCCGCGCAGACTGTTTAAAAAGTGAACCAGTTGTGCGCATGAACCCAAAATCTTTTATAAAAGTAATTAAGAGAAATTTATCTTATATATTTGAGAATTGAATCTGTAGTGGTTGACAAGTGAATAAGGCAAACCAATAATATTCATAAATAAAACAAATTTTTAGTCATATATTTGTTACCACTTTCTTATTTTAACTATATTTTGTATTAAATGACTCGTTCGGTAAGTGGATGTCCTTCATAGTGGTCTGATAGGACTATCTATAAAAAACCGTGTGGAGGCTTTCAGTTAAAACCACTGCTGTAAACCAACGAATCTAACGAAAAAATAACTGAAATGGAATATATAAATCTGGATATATTAAATATATAATCTGGATATATAATCTAGAATATATAATAAATTAATCATGCTTTTATTTTGTAAAAACAGGGAAGTCATGGATGAAAGCTAGACGGAAAAGAGGAAAAGCTGGTAGTTAACCCACTTCAGTTTTAGCATGTTTTCGGGAGGAGTTAAACTATTCTCTTTTTTAATTATTCAGCTGCATCTACTTTTCTATAACGAAAGAAGCTGTTTTATATAAACGCTAAAATTGTAAAAAAATTGCGGTAGTTACAGAAATTTAATGTTTCTTGAAAAAAATGTCAGAATGAAATGCCTTTCGTACCAGTTTTTGCTCTTTTCCGTCTTGCCATATGTAGGCTTTCTGCCCTGAGGGAAGTTAAATTTTCAGTGGCCTTAAAACATTTAAACTACCACTTTTTCTTTTTTGAGAAGTCGAAAGTGGTAACCCTGATATATATTAATTCCCAGAACTTATTAAGTTAAATTAAAAAAAAAAATATATATCCCATTTACTTCTTTCTTAGGATCGCAGTGCTAAACTCTTTACTTGCTACGCAGTGAATCAAGAACTAGGCGAAACGAAGCTTCAAACATTAGCTGTGAGCATTTTGTGTAAGTCATATATTCAATTAGCATGATGGATATTTTATTAATGGATGGATAAAAAAATAATAGATTCCACCGTATTCAGGACTTTTTGGTTGAAACAATTTTTGGTTGAAAAACGTTTAACATACCCCTTACATAATTTGACCGGAACAATTGGAATTATTTCAAAATATGATAAATTACTATTGAGGAAGGAGAAACATCATTGCTAAATTGATTGAAAGGGTGAAACTTGATTCTAATATTTGATTTCCCACCTTCACTCAGTTTTATTCGGCAATGGATAATTCTCAGTTTCCTCCAGACTTAAAAGGCAACTGTAGAAACAGAAACTTCGAAATTTCTTTTCAAAGAAAGAAGCAGGAAGTTAATGATTTTTTTTCTCTATTGCTGCAATGTTTTGTCATTTACAATGTTTTTTTTTAGAAATCAAAACGTATCAAAGTGGTGGCGGTTAGAGCATTTCTCTGTTGAAATTCCTAAGTCTGTATAGTGTCTGTTGATACCATGTATTACACATAAAACACTTTAACAGGATGCAATTCAAAATCGAAGCGAAGTTTCAGAATTTCTGAATACATTTAATTTTTCTTACATATTCCTTTTCAACTTCTTAAGTTTGTACAGGATCTGGTACATGTTATGTGTTGCATATAAATGACTTCATTGGATGTAGTTCAAATACGTCACAAAGTTTTGGAATTTCTCCATATATCAGTCTAATTTCTCTTAGACATTCTTTTTCCCCGTCATAAGTTTGTACGAAGTATGTTGTGAGGCATTATTTACAAATGAAACACTTTCATTAAAAGGAAATTGAAATAAGGCACGTAGCTTAAGAAATTTTCAATTGTACTTATCGGAGCAATGGTGGCTCAGGAGATAGAGTGCGATTGATAAGGCGAGCTGAGTACTAGTCCTAGGATGGCTGATCGATACGAATTTCACAACCGGCTCGTACAGACCATAGTACTGACGTAAAATATCCTGCGGTAGACGGATAAGGAGTTAAGAGTCCCTTTGCATCAAGATAACCGTGTTATTTTTAGTGGTTTTCCCTACCCTGCAGCTCAAATTCGGTTAGTTCTATCAAAAAGTCCTCCACGTAAGCAAATTTTTCCCAATACTTAACACGTTCACGCCGAGTGTTGCGCCTGAAAGCGAGACGGAAAAGAGAAAATAATGGTAGAAGAACTATTTCAATATTAGATAATATTCGAGAGGAGTTAATCTATTCTCAACAATAACAATTCACTGTAAGGAAATTTATCACGGCGAAGAAGCAATTCAATATAAAAATTGCATCCGTTAAAAACAATTGGCAGTTATGGATTTTTATTATTCCCGGAAAAAAACAAAAAATTTGAATTTATTTGTTACCAGTTTTTTCTCCGGTGCGCAGCCCGATGAGACAATCTAGCGTGACCCGCCGGTGGGTCACCTCGGCGTGAACGTGTTAATCCAGGAGTTTCCTTGTCTTCTGAACAGTATACAAAATAGCAAGTCTGCGGAGTTGAACATTGGCAGAGATGCCAACTGCTCCGAGCAAGACAAAATAATTTAAAAAACGGTTAATTACTACTAACTACAATTTGCAAATATTTGTATAATTTTGCTAATTTTTTAACAGGTTTAACATGATTTAACTATAATTAAGTGGTGAATATATAAGTCTATTAACTATTTAGGAATAGTGGTGGATAAAAATCTAATAAATTGAATTTATTAAACAAAGAATCACAATTAATAAGCTACCACTCGAAAATTTTTATTCGCTGTCCGGAGCAAGTGGGCATCTCTGCATTGGTAGTCGTAATCTCAAAATCGGGTCGGCTGTTCAACAACGACCATAAATGGAAAAAAAATATTTTTATTCAATCCTCTTTAGATACTGTTGTAGTTTTAAAACAAAATTAGGTCACGTGGTATGCCTCAAACTGGAATACTATTTTATAAAAATTATGAGAGTTGAAACAATACAGTTTTATTAATCATGGAAATTTACAGTCAATTTGTGATTTACAGATGCACCCGATCCACCATCCATTTTTGGATATTCCGAGGGGACTCCCATAGCAGCTGGTAAACTGCAGCGTCTTACTTGTGTTTCACATGGTGGAAATCCACTTCCCGATCTGAAGTGGTACAAAGGAGAAGAAGAAGTGAGTATATTACTAGAGAGATTTTGCATGGCTTTCCATCCATGCAAATTTTACTTAATTTGACAGCTTGCTGATTATGGAATTGAGAAATGCTATGACAACTGGGATCTGCTCTTGGAATTTACATTTACTGTTTAATCCCCAACCGATCAATAATTAATTAACACTTTCCCATGTTAGCAACAGAATATTTAATGTGACAGTGAAAAAAAAACAGTTAAAGTAAGCAGAATTTGCTTATGCTTGCCAGCATTTTACCACATGAGTATTGCGTCTTATATGGTTTTACTTTGTTTATATGACATGAATCTTAAAATCATTGTTACCCAATTTTTTTTTTTAAATTTACTAAAGCATAAAACTTACTACAATTTAAAATATTTTAGTAGTTAGGTTTTATCTGCGCTTCATAGAGTTCTTTTAGTTAACCTTTTCGGGACGGGCGAGTCATATATGTATTCGTACGGAATTAGAATCCGGATAGTAAAAAATAAAAAGCGGTAGCTTAAGTTTGGGCATAGCTAATTTGACAAACTTATTTTTGCTTTCACTTTAAATTTAACGCATTCAATCCTAGTGAGTTAAAAGTTTAACTGTGCAATTTTTAATTCGAACTAAGTAGTGGTGAATTAAATAAATCAAACTATTAATACCTCGCCTACAAATATACTACTGCTATAAAAAATAGTTTGTCTACCAGTTTTATCTTTTTTACCCTGATTATCGGCACTCTGAGAATGCATATATGACTCGCCCGTCTCGAAGAGGTTAATATGTTGCCGCAAATGACAGCCAAAGCCGTCCGAATTTGGTGATATGTTTACAGCCATCCTCTGAGTGTAATCCACAGAGCTGCTTCTACCCAGGAAAATAAAAACACTGCTAGTAAAACCATTTAATTTCAACTTGTGCTCGAAAGAAAGAAATGTCTGTCATTACAAGGACTTATTAACTGTCAATATCTATAACAGGAAACAGATTTGCATGTCAGATGTAATGTTTAACAAGTCCTGGTAGACAGGGTTCCGTATTCCTCTCAAACACAAGCTTGATTTGAAACAGTTTTAATTTCATCATTTTGGGGGGGGGGGNGGGGGCACAGATATCCTAACTACCATCTCGAAACAAATATTAATGTGGATCTATTAATTACCACTTTTTAAAAAATAATTATTTATATTGTTTAATGTGAATGTTTGTTAGCTGATACATACCCTTCAACTGCTACGGAATTTCCGTAGTTTCAGAAACCTTCTTTTCAGACGGTAGTAAAATTAATGTCTTAATATTTTAAAAAAATTAATTTTAGCGTAACTTGTCCACTATTACTTATAAAAGTGCAGGCCATAGGGCTAGATTCTTAAGTTCTGATAAAAGTTTTATGAGAGATCCATTTGCTTTAAAAATTTCTACTTTGGTTCGCTACCACTAGAAAGAATTATTTTCAAAATCCTCATAAGTTGGAGGGTATGCTGATACTATCTAGCAGAGCGTCAAATTTAAAATAAGGCGGCGAAACTATTCGTGACCTATAGACACTAATGTACAGTTGTGGACGTATGCCTGTTTCAGTGATGCCAACTTGCTCCGGACGGCATATATTTTATAGTGGTAGTTAGGACTGGGCGATATTAGAAATTATATATCGTGATATATCGTCAGTTTTGCATCGCGATATAGCGATGTATCGCGATATAGTATTTTTGAATTTTATTTACTTTAAGGCACAGAAAGTCAGANCGGAGCAGTTGGCATCTCTGCTATAGACAAGATACTATCGTACAGATGTTGTTGTTGTGGACTTATGCCTGTTTATCAGAGATGCCAACCTGCTCCGGACGGCAAATATATATTATATAGTGGTAGTTTATGAATTGTGGTTTTTGGTTTAATAAGTTCAATTTAGTAGATTTTTATCTACCACTATTTCTAAATAATTCGCAGGATTACGTAATTCATCACTTTAAAGTTCTAATGTCATGCTCATAGATGCCAACTTGCTCCGGACAGCAAATATATATTTTAAAGTGGTAGTTTATCAATTGTGATTCCTGGTTTAATGAATTCAATTTAGTAGATTTTTATCCACCACTATTTCTAAAAAATTCGTAGACTTATATAATTCACCACTATAAAATACTACGTCGTTTTATGCCTTTAAAAAAGCAAGCAAAAATAGTCAAATATTTGCAAAATTTACTTAGTAGTTATTTACTGTTTTTCTAATTATTTGTGTATATATGTGTCCGGAGCAGTTGGCATCTCAGATGTTTAGGCAGAGGGGGTGCGATCTAGGCCCAAGAATTCGACTTCAACCACACCAAACGTCACACCCGTTTATAGGACGGACCCATTCATTCATCCACAGATCGTTATTTTGACCTGAATCTCGATCTCCAATCCAGTACCCCCAGAGGTTTTGATTTGTTATGGGAATATGGATTGTACAGAATGTTTTAATTAATAACAAATATGAACATCACTAGTTCAGAGTGTATACCGATGCATTTATTTAGTAATACTTCCGAGAAAAATAGATGTAACATGCCTTAACATACCAATTTTTTGTTTGTTTGGGAAGAGAAAAAAAGTCTTGATTAGCAAATTATGGTTACAGCCGTCAATCACTTTCATAGGAAAACTATGACAAAACGTAATAATTTTTACTTCCCAACCTAAGACTGACCCTCAATTCATATGGTAGCCGTAATCAATTGAAAAAGGGAGAAAAAAAAGCGATTCTGACCATGTCCGCTAAATTAAGGATTCGCGGTAACATATTAAGAATGCATTTAAAACTACTTTTGTTTTTATTTCTTAAGTTATACTCTGAGCTCAGGGATGCCACGGACGAAAAAAAATGTAAAAATTGGTAAGAACTCAATTGACTCTTGATTATTTATTATATCTTTAATTATTCAATCAGAAGTACCACGATCACTTTCAAACTATTTATATTTAAATCAAAATAAATATTTCTTATTTCATTCACCCCTTATTTCATTTCTAGTACCCTGTGGTAATCCTGTTTAGAACATACAAAATATCAATAAATAAATTCAAAAAAATTACAACTACCGCTTTTCTTTTTAAATATTTATGTCAAAATAAAATTTTGCTTCCTTTAAATTTTATTATCAAACTTGTAAGTTTTTTACACTTTTTGTAAAAATGCCTATACAAATGGTAGCTAACTTTATGTTTTAATGCATTATTTTTGATTCATTTAAACTAATTCTCCACACAACTACATAACATATAAATGATTTAAAAGCTCATGCAACGCAACTTTATTCCAACTTTAACGAGGTGCAGCTTTTATAATGTTGATATAATTAATAAAAATTCAGAAAGCTTTGGTTTATAATTGTCCAGGGGTGAAAGCGAGACGGAAAAGAGGAATGGCTGGTAGTAAAACCATTTCTATTATAACTAGTTTCCGGGAGGAGTTCTAATTCTTTTCCAAACTATTCAACAATATCTACATTATCCTTGGAAAATATGCACAGTTTCATATATAGACTAAAATTATAAAAGAAATCTTAATAGTTACAGACATTTTGTTTTTCTCGAAAAAAATGCTAAAATGAAATGTCTTTCGTACCAGTTTTTGCACTTTTCCGTCTTGCTATATAAGGGCTTTCAGCATTGTAAACGTCTACCCCTCTATAAAATATTTTGCAAAACGGAGTAATTGGCAGGCCTGAGACAGCCATTTTTCATCACTTCAAATGAATCGCAACCAAATAATTCTAGCGGTCGCTGTTACTAATTTCGCTATTTACATAGCTGCCAACTCTTCCGGTTCTCCCGGAAGATTTTATTTTCATATTTAAAGTGCTAGCGAAATTCATGTTATTTCACTAAACTTTTTGAATTATAATAATAATTTTAAATCGGTTTGTAATAATTCAACAAATATATAAAAGCATATTAGTTCTTACGATAGCGAATTTCAACCTGATTAAAATATAAATATATTTTTGAGGAAGATAGTTTTTCGGTAATTGTTTTACTGCCACTTGGAGAATCCATTCTCGAAGAGAGTGAATGTTGGCAGGTATGTATTTATATATTAACAACAGTCTAGAGTTTATAGGGGTTATAAATGTTGTGACAAATGTGATAATTTTCATTTCCAATGCTATTATTATAATTTGAAAATTGCAGAAATTTCTTGTTACAGATAAAGCAAACAACTAGGCAAATAACAAGTGGAAACATAATTTCACGAGAGCTGCTCATTGTCGTCTCTGCTTCTGATTACGGTGCTCGTTATCAATGTAAATCTAAAAGTAAAGCCCTGTCTGAACCTCTTGTATCTAGCATCACTCTGGCTGTGTTTTGTAAGGTTCCAAATTATTATTTTCTTTTAGATAACTTACAAGAATACTTAATAATGAACTTTTATTCATAATTGAAGGAATTGGGAGCTGTAACGATAAGCCGCATATTTCAAATTAATCAGAATGGTATTTTTTTAAGTTTTAGAAAAGTCCATAAATCTAATAGATTCTCCGAGTTCAAGAGATTATGTTATTATAAGAGTTTGATCATTAGGCATCAATACAAGAGTTACTATCTTTAAATGTTTTGTTTCCTTATTTCACATTGCAGCTCACTAAATTCCGTGGCTTATTATTATGTTGCTATAAAAAATTTACTAGCTTAAATTTACTGAAACTAATTTACATTTTTTGTATAGTTTATAATTATATTACTATAATAAACTTGTCTCGATTTTGGATTTGGGAGGCCTGGGCTGCACTTTAAACTCCATAAAACTACAGACAACCAAATTAGCTTTAAATTAACGTTTTTTTTCAATCACTATTTTCTTAGAAATATAGACCTGAAGTCTATTATTTTTTCTTCAGAATGTCTACCTTCTACGGTAGCAGTTGAAAACTTCATGCTTGACTAAAATCTGAAATTTCACATTAACTCTTTAATAGGCCATTTATTTCTAGTAAAGGTAAATTAAAGTATTTTTGGATTTGAAATTGATATAAGAATCGTAATTGATATAAGGAAAAAAACTAATTTAGCTTATAAAAAACAAAATGTAACTTCTAATGCCATTTTTTTATGGTAAGTATATTTACCACGACCTATTAGGAACTTATTGACTTTTATTTTTCGTTATTTATGAAATAAATTTTATAGCTGCTACAAACTTCAAAGGGAATTACGTATTTTATAACTTTTATACGTTTTCGTAAACTAACAAATGGTTTCCAAATTTATTCAAACCGACTTCAAGAAAGTTGAAGTTATCAACAAATGGAAACCTAAATTAAAAGTGGTAAAAAAGTTTACCATGGACTTTAAAAAGTGGTGTTAAGTATACTTACCACGTCCTTCGAAAGGGCTAAAGCTGATAAGTAAGCATACCGTCAGTTATCTCGATCTCGGGGGCAGTGGAGTTGATATTCCGAAAATTTAATTAAGCAGTCACAAAGTCAATTACAGAAGAATCACTTCCACTTCATTCAAATTCAACCTCTTCAAAATTATCATCTGTAAAATCGTCTTCATTAATTTCACACACATTAATCCTTCTTATAATTCTTTTTCAAACACATCGACGTACATACGACGGGGCAAAACATATTTTCAGCCCCAAACCCCAACACACAGACAAACTTATCAAACTGCTAACCAAAGCAAAATATTTCCTTTTACTTAGTAAAATGAGTTTAAAAAAATCATACTAACAATTTCCCTATGCCTGAGTCTTCTTGGAATAGTAACTTAATTGCAATTTATACGAACCCAAGAAATACATGAGATCGTCAAGAAAGCGGTTAAAAAGTAGATGCTGTACGAGGTAAACTGAAAGTCCTGATTTGTACCATCAATTAACCTGTCACCACAGTTAGAAGGTAATTCAAACTTCCGCTAACTTCCAAATCTGTTGCATGCTGTTCGAACTAATTAATGAGCGAAATATTTATACTATATTTGTAGTATATGTGCATAATTGGGCAGGTAGATGAAACAATCGTGAATTTAATGATAGAAGCATAAAACTCGTACACATGTACCACACATATAAAATTTTAATTTTTATTGGGATTTTATTATTTACTTTTATCTTAGATTTAGCCCAAAACAATAATGGAGAAACTTCAAAACTGCGGCCTCTGAAATTTTTTGATGCGCTCTTTTTAAATATTTTATGATCATTTTGATTGATTTCGAATAAATGATGACTAAATTTATTACTTTGTGCAGTTTTCTATATTAATCAATATATGTCACTTGAGGAAGTATCTGTCACCTGCTCGCTTCTCTTAACGACCCCTACTATTTCTTCGAAATTATTTTGGTTTCTTGATCAAGAGCAGATTTTTACATTAAAAGTATTAGCCATTATTCCATTTTTAATATTCTATGCCACATTTCATTTATAATATATTTATTTAAATAAAATTTTATGGATTAATTAATTGAATGTATGAATTGATGGTAAAGTGTTTACACTTATTTTATAATTTGTCCATTATTAGTCCATTAGATATTAATACCAGATGTGTAAACATGTAAAAATTTGTATTTTTTGTTCACAAAACCTTTATAACTTCTGAACTACTAATCTGAACTGATTTTCATCTCGGAACTGGTTCATTCAATTAATTCATCGTGAAAAATATCGTCGGAAACAATGCCCTATTTGCTGTTTAGGAAAAGTTCAATGCTCATTCGCAAATCAACTCCACTTTTCTAAATAAAAAAAAAGAAAACGAGAAAGCGTACAGAGGCGAGTTTTTTGGTATCATTTATCATAACATAACAAAGTTTTTGTCAAAAAATATCTTGAGTATTAATTTTTCTGAAGAAACACCTTTTTTGTTATAATTTCTGGACTAATTATTAAATAAGTGTAAACACTTTACCGTTAATTATTTTTCATATAAAATTGGATTTAAATAAATACATTATTAATGAAATATAGCATAGAATATTAAAAATAGAATGGTAACTAATACTTTTGATGTGACAATTTGGTTGAGAAGTAATAGTGGCGGTCGATGAGCGAAGCGAGTAGGTAACATATATTTCCTTAAGTGACATATAATGATCAAAATAAAAAACTGCGGGAGCAAAATAAAAAAATAAGTCATTTCCTTAATAGATAACATTCGAAATCGCCAAAAGACACTTAAAAAGTGCACATCAAAAATTTTCAGAGTCCGGTTATTTTGAATGCTCGCCATTATTTTTATTTGCTAAATCTGAGATGACCTGCTCTAATCCAAAATTGAAGCTGCATATGTGTAGTAGATGTGCAGTAAGTTTTACGCTTTTATAATTAAAGGCGCGATTATTCAAAAAACTGCTGTTCTAGTAGTATAGTCAGAATTTTAAATTCGCTTAAAATAGCATTTCTTTGCAATTTTAGTTCCTCCATCTAATGTCACCATCAAAGTAAGACCGAAGAAAATAAAAACCGGCTCTGAGGTAAGTTCAAATTTTTACATTTTTGTTTATGATAGTGAATTAAAATATTTATTTTTGCATTCATCACAAGTCCACGTTGAATATCAATATTTGCCGATGAACAAACACATTTAAGACAGCGATTTTGTGCTTGTTTCCATTCAATATTTTAAATCACAAGATATATGGACTTGGTAGTTCATCAGAAGTCTTGGTGTTCCAGAGTAGTGTAACAGTGTCTGACAAGGTCAACCCCATACACAGAAACTTATTAGCTTTTTGCGATACGAAACTTTACTAATCTAGATATTGTAACACAAGGTAGGATCAAAAAGTTCCCGGTATATGTCAATTACAAATTATCAAAAAATAGAAAATTAATTTTACTTTATTGACCTTCAAAGAATTTTCCTCCTGCATGCATACACTTCTTCCAGCGTTTGTATAATGCAGTTATTTCATAGAATACCTAGTTATTCCATGAAATAACTGATCCTGGCCGTTAAAGTGTGTAATATGCTATTAATTTGACACTTTAACTAGCTATTCTATGAAATAACTACTAGGTATTCTATAAATTAACTAATGAGAGACAGTTAAAGTGTAAAATAAACAATTTATCTAAAATGAAATAACTAGGTATTCTGTAAATAAACTAATGATGGACAATTAAAATGAAAGAGAAGCAATTTATCTAATTTATGCTGCGTATAAATGGTATTTATGGAAACGTACCATAAAATCATTTGTTACAACAAGGATTACTAAAATGACACTTGGAATTACAAAGAACATTATTTCTAAAACAAAAACATTTTTTGTTGACACACTGGGTTTTACACGAACATTTTTTAAATCCCTGACCAGTACCTAAACTTTGAGCTGTAGCAACCGACCGGAGCGATATTTCTACATCCGGTACTTCTTCGATTTTAATTAATTTTTGTTCGCAGACACTGAACTGGGATCGGGAATATAATTGTTTTATGCGGCCGTTTCTTGTGCCCAATTGGAAAAATCCTTCTTCGGTTATTTTTATGATGATAGCTAAAATAGATTTGGCATCACCTTTTCCTCTGTCAACTTCAGGCACTGGGATACGGACGGTAAACCCCACAGAGGCTTCAGAATGAGATTTATCCGACATTAATTTCATCTTTTTCGCTTGAATTTCTAAACATTTTTTAGACTTTTCTCTTTCTCTTTGAACATTAAGTTCATTAAAACACAATTTGCAGATTTTCTGCTCAACTTCATCTTCTGAAACATAATCTTCCGAACATGATATATGGACAGGCTCCATACATTTGAAGCAAACTATATCTTCACTGTATTCTTTTGAACAGACAACACATACTTTCGAAATGGGATTATTTAATACTGTTTATTTTACTACTTTTCCAACTACTTGTTCAACTACAGATATATGATGTAGATTATTTTACACTTTAACGGGCTGCAGATCGTTATTCTATGAAATAACTAGTTAAACCATGAAATACAAGAGAGTTTTACACTTTAACGGACACGATCAGTTATTTCATGGAATAACTAGGTATTCTATAAAATAACGGATTTCATACTTTAACGGTAACACCTTCAAATTCATTTCCAGCCGTGCGAACAGATAAAAATCTTCTGGTTCTAGGTCGGGAGTGTAAGGAAGGTGTTCCAGAGCAGTATAACGGTGTCTGACAAGGTCTATCCATCTGGCATGGTCACAATCAGAGCATGATGTGATGGAGTATTATTGTGTAAAAGAAACTATGTGCAAACAAACAGGATACAAGTTCAAATTATAATAAAGAATGCTGTGAACACTTCAACGTAAAATTCCAGATTCAGAGACAATAGTATCAATATTTATTCGTCCGTCCGCATGCAGGCGTTGAGTTCGAGGGTTATCTTCGACTCTCGTACAAAATGACATCGTGTGAATCCTGGCTAAATATGGCGCTCGTAACAAAAAGATAAAAAAAAGCTATATAGAAGAAATAATATGCGCTCGACAGCCGTCCACAATGATGCCCCAATTTTTGATGTTTTTGACCCCTCCTTCCCTATGTATCACAGTGTCACACTTCATCAAACAATCACAACCACGTGTCTATTGCATTTCATGTCACGTTATATTGCCTACTAGCTATTCAGATACAAAACGCATGCTTTAGATCATGTTTTAAATTTTATCTTTAAACTTTAACTATATGTTTTGATAATATTTATGAGCATAAGAATAACAATGATGAGATGCTTACTTATTTTGATGAAAATTGTTTAAAAAGAAATAATATAAAAATATTTAATCTTCTGTTCTTTTGTTAAACAAAATGTAAGTCAACACTCATTATTACCCCTTCCTACCCCTTGTTACTAACTGTCATAACTTCCCCAAGCGTGATATCATTTTTGGGCAGCTGCTTGCAATAATTTTTATTTTCAGATTAAATTGTACTGCCAATCAACTCTGAGTAACCCAGCTGCCAACATTACATGGTGGAAGGGGCGAAAAAATGATGTGCAACTTGTTTCCATTTCTGAATCCGTCACCCCCTCTAAGGATGGGGGAGGTTACATCTCAAAAGCTAGTGTCTCTTTAAATGTGACAACAAGTGATGATGGTTCATTATACACATGCCAGGCAGAAAATCTAGCTATTCAACAAAGTGTTCATGATACGATAATCCTTTCTGTATTATGTGAGTGGTGAAAATTATTTTTTAGCTTTAAAAAAATTTGAAATATCTAAAAAAAATCTATCTATAAAAAAATATTGATGTAAACGTTTAATATGACAATCTAAAGGTATTTAAAACCCTTTTTAAAATAACAAGTTGAAAAATTTTTTTTGTTGGAAATTATTGAAAGAAAATGAGTTGTTGCATAATCCGATGCTCGTTTCATAGTGGGTAAAATTAATGTCTGCGTACAAGATATTTTTAATCCAAAATGAACTAACTTACTTTTTTTTTTATTGTTAAATTTTAAAATATTAGTAGAAAAGTTTTATCAATAAATTTTATACAAACTTTTTATAAAATGAATTATGAAAGTTGAATATACTTATAGGGAATAATAAAAAAATAAATATTTACTCTGTTAATTTTGAGAAAAGTTTTTTTTTGTTCAATACTAAAACATACTTATGAGACTTAAATAAGTTTGAGGTACTTATTTTTCCTTCTCAACTCTCTCCCTGCTGAGCTGAAATTATCCCTGGGTATTCCGGGGCGTATGCGGCCCTTTTCCTTCAAGTGCAAGTACTGGCCGATGAGATCATTGACATTGTGTTAGCAACGATGTATTTGAGGAGGGAAAAACTATAATTGACAAGAATAAACACCTAAAAATATATATGCTCCAGTTTTAGTTTTCATGAGTCATGTTAGTACAGTGCTAACAAAATAAACTATCCTCGTTCTCGTTTTAGGACTCAATCTTAATGATTCAAAGGAGACCTCAAATATGCTAATTAATTAGAGTAGACTATATTTTAAGTTATGAAATTAGACACAAAAATGTACTTTTTCTTAATAAAAATAATTTTTTTTATAGATTCAGATTTCTGGTCCCCAAAATACAGGAGGTAGTTTTACGTAATCTTATTATTATTTTTTTTTTTTTTGAACNTATATATGCTCTAGTTTTAGTTTTCATGATTCATAGTAGTAGTGTTAGTACAGTGCTAACAGAAAGTAGCTTTATGTAATCTTATTATTATTTTTTTTTTATAGATTCCGATTTCTGGTTCCCAAAATACAGGGGGGTAGTTTTACGTGATCTTATTATTATTATTATTTTTGAACTAAGGAAATACATAATTTTTTTTTCTCCATTGTCAGTGATAAAATTAGTTAATGAGCATTCCAAAGGTGCCAACTTTACTCTGCTCTTTAGGAAAACTTCTTCTATCGGTAGCTAAGTTTATGTTTTAAAATATTATTCTTTGTTTTGCAACTTTGATTAAAAGTCGTTTTCCCCACCACAGGGAGGCCACAGGAGACTAAAATTGTAAAAAGTGGTCGAAACTCAATAAGTTTTTTTAATTTAATATCTTCTTAATTATTCAATCGTAACTATCACTATAATTTATGTTTCATCCTCTTGCCGTCAGATTAACCGTGGGTGGTTTTCCTCTCCATGTAACGCAAATGCCATGTAACCCTCCATTTGAAATTTATGCGTTCAATTTCATTTACAATGATTTTAACCACCATTATCATACCCTCCAACATTTGAAATGTATGCTTTAAATTTCAATAGCGGGTATCCTAATTGTTTTATTTTTCCCAAAATATTTTACAAAATAGTAAAGAATTAAAAACGAAAATCTGCGGAATGTTAGTTAATTCAGACTACACCTTAAGTGACTGGGGTTGCTACGAACGAATAAAAATGCAAAAAGTGGTGACCAATAAAATTCAAAATTTTATTGAAAGAAATTAAAATTAGCTACATTTCGAGCATATTTTTTTCAGTCTACCATTGAAAGAGGATGTAAATAATAATTTTGCTTTAAATTTAAATAATTTGAAATGCGTGTCATGGTGGTAGTTACGATTGAATAATTAGCGAAATAAATAAACAAAAACTAATTGAATTTCCGCCACTTTTTACGTTTTTAGTGGCCTAAGTGACTTATCTAGGGAATATTCGAGCAACGTGGCGTCTTATATGTACTTTTGAATTATCTTTAGGCAGTGGTGGTCAGAATGACTTTAACCCTTTTGCGCCGACTGTCACAAATAAATACGTGCCAGCATAAAATCGTATCAATCAGGGTAAAAAGATAAAACTGGTAACCAAACTAGTTCTTTAGCAGTTTATTTGTGGGCGGGGTTATAATTGTTCGATTTATTTAATTCACCATTACTTTAGTTCAAAATANGTTATAATTGTTTGATTTATTTAATTCACCATTACTTTAGTTCAATGTAAAATTATTTAGTTATACTTTGAACTAATATTGATTATATATATATGATTAATCTATCAATAATTAAAGTAAATGCAAAGTAAGTCTGTCAAATTAGCAACGCCTACATTTAAGCTACCGTTTTTTATTTATTTACATCCTGATTCTGATTTTGTACGAATGCTCTTATGAATCAACCGTCCTCAAGGGGTTAAATCAAGTTTACAGTTCTAAAATTTAAACCTTAAACACAATTAAACTAAAAACTCTACAATAGTTAAAACTAAAAACTAAGTTGCTACTAGAAAAATATTAAGTTCAAAGCGAAGTAAATTGTTATCCTAGTTAATGTTAAAGTGGCATAAATGCTTACTAACTTAGACGAAAATTTACTACCAGTAATAATTTTTTTTTTTATGGCTCGTTGGGAGCCTATAAATCTATTTGGTTTAAGCATTTCTGACACGTTTCAGACAGACCTACATTCACAAAATCTGACCCAGCTATAGTTGAAGTGAAAGAAAATGACTCTACTATTGTTGATGTCACTGCGAAGGCGAATCCGAGTAACGTTACGTACAAATGGACAAGAAAGGGAGAAATCATTCAAGAAGGTCCCATTCTCAATATCACAACAGCTGAAAGATCTCAATCTGGAGAATATATATGTCAAGCCTCTAATGAAATAGGAGAAGCCACGTTGACCGTTGTTTTGAAGGTCCTATGTAAGATTTCTATTTTTATAATTATGGTATTGTTATACACACGGTAATTATTTATGGGTAATTATTTAGGGTAGCGTTTCTCAAATTTTTTTTCGGCTTCTGAACCCTAAATAATCAACCTTCTTTATTCGGAACTCCGATTTTATAAATAAAGTTTATTAAGGTAATAGCGAACGTTATAACCTAAAGAAGACTGTTTTGGAAATATTTAATTAGAGGAATTAAGATTTTTTTAATCGTTTAATCATTAATAATCTTAAATTAGGTTTTTTTGTACGACAGTTCTTGTGCTATATCTAGTCCAGTTAGAAATTTGTTTTTGGCGTATATGCATAAGCAGAAAATGAGTGAAATAAGCTGAATTATGGTTCATTTCGAGATGAAAACTTAAAAGACTTGCTATAAACATTGAAATTGATTATTAAAGAATTCGCTCATTTAATTTTGATTTGAAAAGTGCGATAGTAAATACTAATGCAATATTTTATAAATACTTGTTCTTTTCATAATTTATTCAATATATCGTTATTAGAAGTATTATATTTTCATTGAAAAAGGACCATTTCTAATTAATTGGTATGTGCCGAAAAATTATATAAATTATGAGAGGTTGTTTCTAAATATGAACAGAGATTTTGAAACTCATCATTGATTATAAAAAACATTAATTCATGGAACCCCTTTAACTCTTCCTTGGAACCCTAGGGTACAGTAGGACACCATTAGGGAACCTCTGATTTAAGTTATACGTCTGGTTTTTATATAATTTTCTTTCACAAAAAAATGGCTCAATTAAAATTTTATTTTCATGTTTGGCAAGCAGGGGTCTTAAAATTATAAATTTAAAGAAAATTTAAAAATTTACAAAAAGATTTTTTAAAATCAGGGCAGATTTAAGCTTGAATTTTTCATGTGAAATTAACAGCTCTACAACAAACTGTAATGCATAAATTTCAAAAAGTTTTTTTCTCTAGATGAATAATGTGATTACCTGTGTTTTGAACTAAAACCTTAAAAAATATTCAAAAAGACAATGAACTTACAATAAACTAAATGTATTAATTAATAATGAATTTTTAAAGAGAAATTCTAAATATTTTTACTTAAAGCTTGATAAAAATAACAAATTCACATTTAAATTTAAGCTTTTAGTTCAAAATTGTTTTGCTTACTATAGCTTTATCTGCGAGGCGATATTTTATTACAATTGATTTTGTTTTGACTAAAGAAATAATGTCAAATTTGAGCACAAATATTATTCATTTATTAAATCGCGTAATTCTACGGAATCAATTGAAAGTCTGTTTTAGCTATTTACAACATATAGGTTATTAAAACTATCGAGAAAAAAAAGGCAAAGAAAAAAAAAATAGTAAATCAAAAATTTCGATTTCGCTTTTTTTTTTATTCGCACGCATGAAGATCTTCTATAGAAATTGATTTCACATTCTCAATAATATTGGTGCCTAAGTTTTTTTTGCAAATTCATTATCAATTAAGGCAATCTTTGAGTGAAATTTCGTAGAAATTATGGATATGAAAAGATAATAAGCTTTTTATACCAAAGGTTTTCTACCATCTGATTTACATTCTTTTTACCTTCCTTACCTCTTTACTCATCACGCTAAAAATATGAAATATACTACCCAATACATAATCCATGATAAAAACAATGAACAAATCAAGTCAAATGGTGTAAAAATATAGCGGATATATTAGCTCAAAAAATTGATCACAGCTCCTAGCGTAGAAAATACCAACCATTGTTATTTAACAGCAATAATATTTTTCAATCATGAATTTATTTTATTTAATAGATCCTGCTACGCTTATTATATCAGAGAATGAAAAAGTGAGCAATATCATTGTTGCAGAGCCGGAGTCCAATGTGAAACTACAATGCATGGCTGATGGCTATCCATTGCCAGATGACGTCATTAAGTGGGAAAGACCTGATTTTAAAATGGACGAAAAAACTGAGATACTCTTTAAAGGAAATGGAAAATCCATAATTGGAATCAAGAATGTCACTCGCGAAATTACTGGTGAATTCACTTGCACCGCTAATAATGGAATCGGTTCTCCAAGTTCCAGAAAAATATTTCTTATGGTGAAACGTAAGTAAAAATTTGTTTCTTCATAAAGCCTTAAAGCTGTTGCCACGGAAAATGTATAGAAAAGTAGTTAAATTATGTTTTCTTTGTTTATATACTTTACAAAATGATTGATTTTTGCTAACATAAATACTAGTTCTATGTATTAAACTATACAGTTTTTTAATTTAATATTGAAAATTAAAGGAAGCTGATAAAAATGAATACAAGTGGAAATTTCAAATGAGATGGGTCTGATTCATATTCATTCTCTTGCATTTTACACCAAATATTTATTTTAGTATTAATAACTTGTCGTTGTTCTAATGTAACATGATATAACAGGACTTTGTAACATTAAAATCACAAGAGAATGAAGAAGAAGACAAATATAATTTATGTAAAAAATGGCTCGAGGAGATTCGGGCATTTGTCAACTGTCATACATATCGTTTAATACAGTTTTCAAATTTCCGATTTAAATAATGTTGCAGTCAGAGTCTTGAATATTGATTTGCTCAGTAGTCTGAAATTTTAGACTGGAGACTTAAGCTTCCATCTCTTTCAAAAATGTTTCTTTACATAAATAACATTGGTCCTGTGCTTATCCCGAATATTTAGCTTGTAGAGACTACTTTGGAAACATTGTTCAGTTGGCGTGCGAATAAATAAAAATTTATTGCTAAGTAGAGCGTGCTTTTCATTTTCTAGAGAAAAATTTAGAGCTGAAAAAGAACATATATGTGATTCAGTGCAATTCAATGTAAACATGTGGTTCACTGTAAAAAATTTTTATTGATGGCCAAATCGGTAAATGAGGTATTGCAGATGTTTACTCCAATAATTTCTTTAACATGTTCACGCCGGGAAAAGTAAAAATTCTGGTAGAAGAACTATTTCAATATTAGATAATATTTGGGAGAAGTTAATCTATTCTCAACAATAACAATTCACTGTATGGAAATTTATCACCGCGAAGAAGCAATTCAATATAAAAATTGCATCCGTTAAAAACAATTGGTAGATATGGATTTTTATTATTCCCGGAAAAAAACAAATAAATGAAATTTATTGTTACCAGTTTTTACTCCGGTGCGCTGCCAAGATGAGACAATCTAGCGTGACCCACTGGTGGGTCACCCCGGCGTGAATGTGTTAAAAAAAAAAGTAAACATGTAACCTTTGGTATCAATTCATTTTATTACTATTTTAGTCTTTTGATTACGCAGTGAACGTCTTATGAATACTTAGTTTCCTGAAATAGATTATAAACTTTGACTGAGAGGTTCATGCTGTTATTCTCACGACCTTTGCAGAAAATATATATTAAAAGTAGGAATTTGTTTTCTGAAAACATTTCTCTCATTTCAAAACATCTTGTTCAGTGACCTATCAAACAAATTAAGTTTTACACATACTGCTAATGTATGTTTTTTTAAACCCGAAATTCTATGATCTCTTTGTTATTTGGTTTTTTCTTCCTTTATGCTCCTTAACGATATAATCGTTTTTAATTCTCTTTTAATGAAATGAACAATATTTGCATTTAAAATTACTATGTAAAGCGTAATTCTATATATCTTTTGTGTGTTATCTAGAATAAATAATTAATAAACATGTAAATAAAATATTAGGATAAAGAAACAATTTTATTATTTTAGGACAAATAATCGAATTTTCGAGCTAATAAAGCGCAATCATTGCGGTTCCAAGAATCTCATCTACGTTATACAACGTTTTAATTAAGTTAGACGCATTATCTAACTTCCTCTGAATAAAGATACCTTTTCTTTCTACAGGCAAAAAAAAAATATAATAATTTAGGTGGCACCATTTTGGAAGATAAATTCCCAATAGTTTAATTAAGAGCTTGATCGAGAAATTTGACTAATTAATGCTAATTTTACATTTTATATCTTTCCTGTGTAACTGCGAAATTTTAAACACTTATGCACAACTTGAAGAAAAATGTCAATGCTCGTAATTTTAAAATCGCTCTGATTAGATATTTACACTTCCTGGTACAGTGTAGTCAGCCTCCACACGATTTTTTTATAGGTAGTCTGATCAGACCATTGTTAAGGATATCTACTTTCTGAACGAGTCATTTAATACAAAATTTAGTTAAAATAAGAAAGTGGTAACAAATATATGACGGAAAATTTGTTTTATTTATGAATATTATTGGTTTGCCTTATTCACTTGACGACCACTACAGATTCAATTCTCAAATATGTATGTTAAATTTTTCTCAATTACTCTTATAAAAGGTTTTGGGTTCATGCGCACAACTGGTTCACTTTTTAAGCAGTCTGCACGGACTACTTGTTAAAGACCGTGTGGAGGCTTTTTGATGTAGGAGGTGATGGTCTGGCAATCCGGAAGCAATATGTGCTACAAACCACTAGTAACGTAAGACTAATTGCTTTTATATGTTTAGCAACCACTATCCTTTGAACAACACAGAAATAAAGTATGTGATTTCACGTATAATGTATTGTCATGATCGCACTTGCTAATATACTGCCAGACTAAAATTTTCAATCAAAACGTTGCTGTTCCGGGAAATGTTCAGCAAAATGAATGCATGTTACCGCTCTCTCAACATAAATTGGTTTAACTTTTGACAAAAATGCAAATTTTTCTGGAGCCCTTATAAAATGATAATTTAAACCATGTTTCATTTCAAATCGAACCTTAGTAATATATAATCAAGGTAATAAATACGACATTATGGTTAACAACATTTCAAAATTTTTGGCCGAATATACTTGTTTATATTTACTCGCTTTCATTTTCTTTGATTTAATTCATTTCAATTCTTACCATCAGAATTACATACTATAAATATGCAATTACATCATAATATGCGTATTCATATCTATGTGTTTTTTTTCTTAAGATTTTTGTGCGTTAAGTTAACTTTATACGTTGTAGTTTAAATGCATTTAATAAAACGTTTCATGAAAATTACGAGAATTTATTACCTCGTAATAAATATGAGTTAAAGTAATTGTTTTTCAAAAAAATCTTTCAGATGAACCAATTATCCAAAAAGAAGTTAATAGTACCATCTTCAGCAATCGTGGAATCACTGTCGAACTGTATTGTACTGCTGGAGGAGTACCGAACATTAACTTTACCTGGTCTCTCGAAGGAGTCATCATCACACCAAGCAAAAAACGCATGAAAAGTGAAATCTTTCAATTGGATCACATTACTTGGCAAGGTGTTCTCACCATAGACGATGTGGTTGCCGAAGACTTCGGTGAATATAAATGCATAGCTAGAAATGAAATTGGATTCGACACTTATGAAATAAGCTTATTACCGGACAGTAAGTTAATTTTCATTCATTCAGTAGTTTTTATATATTAAAACTTAAGAATTTCTGATCAGTGTATTGTCTGACCCAGCCGAAATTCCTTACTCTTTACAGAGACTTGCAAGGTCCTTTAAATTAATATCTTAGTGTCCCGTTAGATTTTTGCTTAATTTATTTATTTGGATAACATTAGAATTTTTTCCCGATTGATTTGGTTGCAAGCTACACCGTAAAAAATGTTTCACTAATGGGCTGTCGGTGACAGTGTACGATTCATTCTTAACACTAGGTTTACGGGAAGCGTCATTTTGACGTATTTCGAATTTTATAAAGAAAATTACAAAACCCGTTTGCATTTTTATTTCATCGCTTGCAATGACTTTTATCCATTGATCGAGGTAAATATATAAACTAAACTAAACTCAGCTGCGCGACAGCCCATAGAGGGCCAAGGCCTACTGTGCCCATCTCAGTTTTCTTGACCTTGGGCTCTGGGGTGCAGGAGCAGATGTTCCGGTCAGGTGGTCAGCCGAACGCGGAACCCCCAGTGTTTAGTTCCCAAGGATGCTTGAGGTAAATATATATATTGAAGTCTATTTTCTTCAAAAGCGTTGAAATATTGAAATTCTCGTTGTTCTCCCCTTCAAATAATTATAATTATTGGTCAAAATAACTATTTAAAAAAAACGGTAAGTAACTACTCAGTAAATTTTGTAAACATAAAGTGGTGAATTATTTAAGCCTGCGAATTATTTAGAAATAGGGGTGGATAAAAATCTACTAAATTTAATTTATTAAACCAAGAATCACAATTGATAAACTACCACTCTAAAATATATATTTGCTGTCCGGAGCAAGTTGGCATCTCTGTAAGTGCTGTTATATGTATTCGTTCATGCGTCAAATTGACGCGTGTTCGTAGAGATAGGTAAATAAGAAACGGTTGTAAACCTAGTGTTAATAAGGATTTTGCTGGCAGAGTTTAGTGCGTTGTGGAAAATGCCCAGCAAGCATAATGAAAAAGTCATCTTTTAACTAATCATAAATTTTATTAAGCAAGAAAAATCATAACTTAACTTAAACATCATAAAGGAGAAACAATCCTCTCCATAACATGAGGTAACGTATTCAATACATACAGTCATGAAAATCAAACGAAACAAAAACTCCAAATCCAATCTTGATTTGTTATATATATACAAAATAACACTTNCTCTTATGAAATAGAAAAAAATTAAGACATTCATCGACGAAATATCGTATTTAGTCCTTAAAAATTCATCATTCCCTCCTTGGAACGACGATTCCAGGTGCCGGAGACTGGTTGGAATGAAACCGATTCCAATACCAGCCAAGAAACTGTTTCCAAGGTGTTCGTGGTGGGGAAAAATAATTCCCGTTGGAACGTGGCTCATGGTAGGGTTCCAGGAGTGAGTTCTAAACTACTAAGACAAAATGGGAAGAAGTATAGTGCGGCTTTCAGGAGAACTCCTCCAGACACCCGTCTCGCGTCGTGGCGGGTACTTTGGTTACTAGGAAAGGTCACTTCGAATAGGGGTGTGGGGTGAATAGTTTTGTCTTAATATTAATGTATGTCGTCGTGAGTAAACCAATCGACACCTTATTTCCTCCATTTCACCCCCATTGGAAATGTGCTCTCGCTTGTTACCATAGCAGTAGACAGCCCCAGACTTTGTTTGGAGGAGTTCTCCTCAAAGCCGCACTATACAGACCAGCCAAACAACCAGTATTTATCTCGAGGAATCGAACACAAACCAAGATGTAAACAATAGCTGAACTCATTACTGTGACTCGGCAGCTTTTTTTTATTTTTAAATATTATTTCTTAGAAAAACAGATTAAATCTATTTCTACTATATAAATTGTTAGTTCAAATTTTATTTTCAAATTAAGGATTATCGTTTTATTTTTATCAATGACACCGTCAGTTGACCTTTGGAAGGGCGGAAATTTGAGCTTAATAGACTCATTTAAATAATCTAGTAAAAATGTTCAAGTATGTATTTTATGGTTTTATATTTTACGAATGGAAAAGCGGACACTACAGTCTTCAGTAGCTTAGGTTATTGCATATCTGTAAAAATAGCTAATTTTTTTTGGATATTATAAGCACCCAGCCTCTTGTAGTTCTAGAAATACGGAGACCTCCGTTCTTTATTTTTTATATTTCTTAAAAGTATAAAGCGATGGTATTTTTGCTAACATAAAAATGTGCTTTATATTCAAATGAGAAAGAAAACAGTGCAGAGTGAAAAAAATTTTTTTTATGTTTTATTGCCTTATTAATATCTGAAGGACACAGCAGGCAACTTTAACTGTAACAAAATAGTGTAAACTAAATTCATATTTTAATGAAATAATTTAGTTTTTAAAGGTATCAAATATACAGACCCAACGCATGTTTAGTTTGGTTATTAGCGTCACACTCAAACTACACTAATGGGCCCTTGGCGATGGTCAGGAATTCATACATTATGATGATTCAAAGATAATACTGGTGGACGCGCATCCTACTTTTTCGCAGTTTAGATCGGCGGGCAGATGATTTCAGTAATCACCCGTTCTCCGCACCACGTTCACTAAACGTCCAACCATGCGTTGATTTTTTTCTGGCTCTGAAAACGCCTGAGACAAAGAGAGGATTTTGAATACCTAAGACAAAATCGGAGAGAGTGCAGTCCAATCAGGCCCACAATCATTAGCACGTGAAATCGGACCCCAGACCTAGGTGTATTGTATTTATTTGTTTGGAAGTTTGACTTACAACTGCTCCGCCTTCATCAAAAAATTTTAAAAAAGCAGTAGAAAACTAAAAACTAAAATTTGCAGAATTTGGATAATTTTGCGAACATTTTAACCCGCTTTATCCCGACTTTTTATATTGAAGTGGTGCAGAAAGTGGTTTTATGAAAAAAGTGGTATAACATGTTATTCAACTAAATGGGTAATATCAATTATTTGTAGCCATTTCAGTTCTAAATGTCCCTGCAGCTGATAGTTATACATCTAGTGATAGAAACTTAAATTACTAATAAATTATGGTGGAAGGGAAACTTTTAATTCTCCTAGATAAAAGACAAAATTGAAACAATTGTCCTACCACAATATATGTTTTTGAAAAAGAAAACTGTCCTATAAATATGACGGTGGGTACTAACTGGTTAACCTGTTTCAGTTCAGTATGACAATTGTTTCAGGTTTGTCTTTTATCTAGGAGAATTACGAGTTTCCCTTCCGCCATAATTTAATAGTGATTTAAGTTTCTATCACTAGATCTTATAAGGTGCAGGGACATTTCGAATTGAAATGGTAACAAACAGTTGATATTAGCCATTTAGTTGAATAACATGTTATACCGCTTTTTTCAAAAAGACACTTTTTGCACTACTTCAGTATAAAAAGTCGGGATAAAACGGGTTAAGAGGTTCACTACGAAATAACAGCATCAAAGGGGCATTTTATATTAGCCTATGTGTTATTACGAAGTAAAGGTGGCTAAAAAGCCTACATATAGAATTTGCTGAACCAAGAATTGTACGTAAAAGCATAAATGTTGCTATATCGCTAAAAAAAATTTTTCACTGAGCGGAGCAAGTTAGCAACTCTTGTACAAATTGGCAAAGCACTTCGTATTGTTTTTTTAAGTACTGTGTATTTTTTTAATATTCTTACAGGTGCTCCTGATCCTCCTGTTCTGATACGAATTTTAAATACCACAAATGATGCCATTCATTTGAGGTGGGTTCCAGGATTTGATGGTGGACACAATCAAACTTACCGAATACGCTATAAAACAATATTTGATCCATCCTTCACTTACATCGATGTCCATCCACCTGAATCCAACTATTTGTGGCTAAAAGATTTGAAATCTGAGATGGAATACGAATTGGCAATCATGTCTATAAATAAAAAAGGAAACAGTCCTTACACTGATAAACTGATGAAAACCAAAACTTTAGGTGAGAAATTGTTCACATGTTGTGCTCCAAGTGTTTAGTATTGTTCATTTTAAACAATAAGGACATTACTTGTTTCTCAGGTAACATACAGAAGATAATTTTTGAAAACAGTATTATTTTATTTGCCAGAAAAATGTAACAAGGAGAAAAAAGAATTATTTTTATCTTTTTGTTTTGTAAAATTATTTCCCGTTGTATATCAGCTAGAAAAATCCAACGACGTATAAATTATTCTTGTTACAATAATCACTTTAAATGATATATACTCTATTTGTTTCAATCATCAAACTTTATATGATATTTGAAGAGCTTAGTGAAAGAATCAGGTTAGTAAAATTTTCAGAGAGGGAAAGTATAATCAGTGTTAGAAAAAAGAAGTATCCGAATAATTTATTTTAGATTTATTAAAAGGCGGAGCTAATAATTCTTGGTCTCATTTTATTTTCTACTTCTTAATTTGAAATGAAAATCATGCTAGCATACTCGAAACTAATGTGAATTAATTATTTTAATATTAAAGTGAAAGCTAAAGCAATTCAAATACATTAAACATACCAATATTGATACAATCCCTTTATGTTATTTTCTCTGATTCATTAATATGCCTAAAATGTCACTTACCCGGATTTTCTATTTAGCTCTTCATTTGAGAAGAAAATTAATTTTATGTAAATAAAGTATTGCAGGGTCCTAGCGAGTGCAGATTGGTAGCTATGCGAATCGAATTGTTGCATTTATTTTTACTTTCACATACTTTTACTTTCATATCACTATTAGCTAAAAAATTATTACCGTTAGACACTGCCTGAGAATTTGTAAAGGCATTAATAAGTTTTTATTTTTATTTTTTATGAAAGGGTTGGTAATCGTAATTCCTTTGGCGAAAAAAATTGTTCCCGCAGCATACTGTTGTTATCGTGAGATATAGGTTAACGGCATATGTTTAATTATAAAAATCATTTGATTTTTTGATCTTGGAAGAAATTTGTGATTTTGCATCATACGCTTAGTAGAATTCTAATTAAACAAAACAAACATTATGTAAGGAAAGATTAAGTTCACTAACGTCCTCAATTTCATAAAAAAAAAAATTAATTTTGTTTATGGGTTTTATTATTAATTTTTGTTTTGGTAATGAAATTTTATTATTGTTCCTATAGTTACAGGTTTGTCAACAGAAAAACCACAATTGGAAGAAGTGCCTAGTGGTTTAAACTATTTTTTAATTGAAGTTTTAGGCAGTGCCGTTGGAGCGGTTTTCTTAATTCTTTTCCTCTTCAACATAGTGCTACTTTCTTTATACTATCATAAGAAGAAGCCAAGATTGAAAAAAGCTTATTCAGGTATTTAACTATGTTATTTAGAGAAAAAACACATTTGGTTCATATTAACACTAGTAAATATAAATTAGCTCTCAAAATTCTGTATACAAACTTTTTTTAACACGTACATTCATCTATGTGCCAACTTGGCATGGAAAATACTTAAAGAAGCAAATTTTACTCACTACTTAAGTGATTAAAAACTTAATTAGAATGATTTGGACCACCAGGGCATATGAACGAACTAAACAGATATGTAAGATCTGATACTAGTGAGGGGAAGCTTTTAAGTGTTAGCAAAACTAAACATGTACTGCTTACTTTGGTGATATTTTGTTACTGTTTTTAATATTTTGTGTACTAGGCCGGCATCTATGCATACAACCATTATATTGTTTCAAACTGCGCCAATTACTGATTCGTATTAAATTAAAATCATTATATTTCTTTTAGGTGACAAATTGAAAAAATTGCTATCTTACAATGAATGCGTTTATTAAAAATTATAGTCTTCATTGAAAAATACATATGGCAACGGAAGGTTTAAATCCCATTTTGAGAAAAATAAATAAATAAATAAATGACTCTACAATAATAGAACACTTGACCTATGGTATTGAAAAAACCATTTCTAGCCCTTAGATTCGGAATTATCATTTTGATCTGGTTAATGGTATGTTCCTTTCTCTAAATGGGTGCAACATAAATAGATACAAATAATATGTAAAGCTTTGTTGATTTAGTACTTATAAGCACATTGAAGACATTATTGCCAAGAACAGAATGTGTAAAAAATTTCTATTTATTTGCGATTCCGCAAATCTTCGGCAAAGTTTGAAGACCGGAGATAAAGATATCGTATGATAGCTAGGTGATCTCACGCGATATCTTTAAGATAATTTCGTCATGTCTCTGTTCTGAAAATCGCGAATAAATAAATGCTCGTTTTAAGCATTCTTCGAGACATATTTCCTTAAATAATGAGAACATTCTTTCATGAAAACGAAACAACTGTATGACGTTGCTACAACATTGGATTTGATTTGACGGCTAACAATGGAGCGCCTTGTTTTTGACACGCTATTAACAAATCAAATGCGAGATAAAGGATTTTTACTTTTGTTTCGCTGTAGAAGAAAATCGTCTGCAAGAAACAGTATTTATTATTCTTTCAACAGTTTCTTTAAATGCGGAAGGAAAGACGTATATTTGTAACGATTTTTAGATATTTCTCTAAATACTTATTACTTGTTAACTGTTTGTGATTATTATTGTTAATAACTGTTATTGTTTTTCTACTGTATTGTTAATAACTTTAATTGCGCCACGTCAAGAGTTAGCGATATTGATATACGTTCTCGTGCACTTAGCTGCAAACAGGTTTTCTCCATAGGGATAATGGGTTTTTGTTTTTTAACTTACAACAGAGTATAGTAATCACTCGAGTGGTTTGAAGAAAGAAACTGATGGCAGACATGAACGTGAAAGTATCTAAGGCCCGCAAAAATCGTATGGTACAGGGAAAAAAATTTCCAAGTGTAATAACGTACACTTTTAGCCTAAGCTAGGTAATAAAAAAATGCATAAATTTTTTCCTGCTCTCAGCATTGACCAGTGTAGTTTAACACTAGAAGATGCTTCTATTTTTAGCAAAATTTCTAAAACCTTAACAACAATTAAATATATTATTGACTTAATTAATATAACGTTACTTTCATTATTTAAAGTGGTAGATAAGTAATGTGCAGATCTTTATTTATGTCCAATTAAAAAATTTACATACTACGATTGAGTGATATTACAATTACGAAGGAAGGTAATTTAAAAAGGTTCTCCGTCAGAATTTATTTTTATCTATAAAGAGGTGGAATAAAGTTTTTTTTTTTGTTGATTCCAGGATTTATGAATTTATTTTAAAAATATTTTAGCCATAGGAAACCGATCGCATACATGAGCGTGAAAATACCTAAGATCCGCAAAAATCATACGCAATAGGAAAAAAAAGAATTTCCCAACGTAATAACGTACACTTTTAGCCTAAGAAAAATAATAAAAAATACATTTTTTCCTGTTCTCAGCGCATTTACCAGTGTTGTTAAACACTAGAAGATGCCTCTCTTTCAAGAAAATCTTTTCTGAAATTAAAATACAATTTAACTTCAGTCATCATCATCATCAATATTTATCTGGGCGCCTGGGACCCTTAGCGGCCATTTTCCCATTCGTCTTGAATTGTGATCTTTAGGGTGGTTCTTTCTGGTTACAGGAATGCAATTGAAGTAAAAGGAATTTAAATATTTTGAATTTTAGATAAAATTACGTCACTACAAAAGAAAGCTGCCATCGGCCTGAGGTTTATGTCTTCTCTTAAGTTTTCAAAAGTAAGAATTTCGTTGAATCCTGCGGTGTCACAATTTATGCTGTTAAAGTCTTGTTTGTCGACAGGAAAGTTGTGGGTAAATAATATAAATAATATGGGCCCAAGAATGCTTCCTTGGGGCACTCCTGCTGTTACTTTTCTGTGCTACTCTAAAACATTACTCTAAAACTTCTAAATCGATGATGCTATACAACTTCATAATCAAATTTTTTTAATTTTCTTGTAGTTTATCAATTGTGATTCTTGGTTTAATAAATTCAATTTAGTAGATTTTTATCCACCACTATTTCTAAATAATTTGTAGGCTTATATAATTCACCACTTTATTTTTGTGAAATTTACTCAGTAGTTATTTACCGTTTTTTAAAATTATTTTGGCGTGTCCGGAGCAGTTGGTATCTCTGCACTTAGAAAGCAATGTAATTATAAACTATAAGAAAAAGAATGAAAATATGAGATATATATTTATGAAATATTGTAGTATTTTATTTTTCAATACTCGAACTAAGCAATGAAACCTTCAAAATCTGACATCAATTGACATTATGCGTTTGTTCTTTCTATCACTGTTTATCGGCAACAGTTGTTTATCGTTTGTTTCATTTGAGATAACGATATCGGATAACGGATTGCAGTATTGTCGGTACATTCCTATTTATTATTGATGTGATGTTTGCTTGTTTACACAAAATTTTGTCTAAATTACGATCGTGCCAAATTGACGCATATCCGTAGATATAGGTATACCACAAAGAGAATTTCAATATTTCAATGATTTTGAAGAAAATAGACTTCAATATATATTTATTTTGATCAATGGATAAAAGTCGTTACAAGAGATAAAATAAAAATGCAAACGGGTTTTGTAATTTTCCTTATAAAATTCAAAATGACGCGTCCTGTAAACCTAGTGTTAAGTATCGCATAAACACTTCGCTTTAACACTACTTTTATGACTATTAGTGAAGAAGGAGGAACAGACTATAGTACTATTACACTACAATACATGAGGAGGACATGATTATATGTATTATACATCAAGAATTTAAGCGTCCAGTCTTGTCATAATTTTTTTAGCCATGTGTAATGGAAATGAATTATTAATTTTTATTCATAGGTAGTGATTTATCGAGTTCTACAGGGAGAATTTCTTCATCACAAATAAATTCTGAAGAGACTACCTTCACCGATGAAAGTTATGAGAAAACAATTGATAGAACTTCTACTTATGATTCAGAATCAATATTATCTTCAGAATCGGTAAGATTTTTGTTTATTAAGTTATTTTAATATCTTTGACGAGATAAATCAAGCTTTGTATCTTGCAAAAGTCTTTATGCAATTCTATGCACATATCCTCCAACGTTTGAGTTTCATGTAAATTATATGTATCAGAGATAGCAAACTAGAGTCGAAGTTTTTAAAACAAATGAATCTTTTATGAAATCTTGATCATTGCATTTGATCAAATTCAGTTCTCTATATGAACTTTACTACTATACTTACGTTTAGAGCGGCGATGGCTCAGGGTATAGAGCGTTCGCCTTCCAATGAGGCGAACCGGGTTCGAATCCCCCGTGGATACTAATTCCGCATCCGGCTGGCACCGATCACAGTGCTGACGTGAAATATCCTCAGTGGTAGATGGATCATGAGTCCCCTTGTCGTCGGGCTAACCGTGGGAGGTTCTCGTGGTCTCCCACTCCATGTAACGCAAATGCGGGTCAGTTCCATCAAAAAGTCCTCCACGAAGGCAAATTTCTCTCATTACTCGATCCAGGAGTTCCGTTGTCTTCTGGATTGGGTTCAAAATTACAAGGCTGTAGAGTTGAACATTAGTAGTCGTAAACCCATAAAATTGGGTCCGCTGTTTAACGACGGTTATAAAATAAAATATACTTACGTTCAAATTACTTGCATGAAGTGGTGTAAAAAATTCAGTTATCCCAATGCATATCAGCAAACATTCTACGCTCATTGAAGAAGCTTTTATATAGTGGTAGTAGAATGAAATTTTAATTGAGATTGTAAGCAGATTTTTCATTTATATTTCACCCTCCTATAGAAACTCGTAACGATGAGTAGTAGTAGATCTTCAATATGTTTAAATTATTTGAATGTTCCAATAATCAAAGTCATTTTAAATCAAATTTATTAAAACAAGAATCGTGTTTGAATTCATAAAAGTGGCAACCTGATTAATTGCAAAATCCGGAAAAGTTGGCAGGAATGCCAATGGCATCGTTTGACTAGTGAGACTTGCCATGCATTTATTTCGGAAAAATAAAAAGTGTTGGCAAAAATAAGTTGCTATTAGTTTATTTCAGAGAGAGGTAATCCATTGATAATTACCACATCATTTAAACTATAATGTAGCTAGGTATAAAATTTGATTTGCTAATCCTCGAAATAAAAAATATCAAACATTGTTATCAAAAACTTAGGAACAGTTAATAATTGGGCTGTTCCCTCTTAGTCTGGTGTTTAAATGAATTGGAACTCGATGGATTAATTCTTATGTATTAAAAAAATCATTGTATAACCTTCGATTTTCTGAACGGAAGCTCCGTAGTAGTTTGAGGGTATGTGTCCACATATAATATCCCTTTTCCTCCGCTCCCTGAAAATAGCTAGGTATTCTACCTGAATTTCTCAAGTCTGTTTCAAACCCCTTCCTCCCGTCAAAACGACGAGGGGAAGTTTCACCCACTATTTCTTTCTCGTGCCCGTGATATTTCAGGGCTGAAGTGTTCAATAAATAACGCAAGAAAAAGCTTAAAACATTCTAGTTCTTGCACCCGGAATCATGTTTATTTCTCAATCTATACACCAGATGCCAGTATCTGACAAATTGCAATGTGTTTAGAGATAGCTTATTTTAAACCATAAATTATCACTCATCAAACATGTAAGCTAATTTTAACCGAAAATTGAAAATATATTGGACATACACCTCGTTTATAATTTCACTGAATGAAATAATAGACACTTTTATGACACTTTTCTCAAAATTATGCGACCATTAAAGGGTTAAAGGTTATGGTTGGAACACCACCGATTACTGCAATTACTCCACATATCGCCACACAAACTTCTCATCTATTGTGTATCTAAGCCTCCAGTTTTCTCATATACTAACTATTCATTCAATTAAAAAAATCCTAATGCAATGACTAATGCTCACATAATTGACCCATTTGCTCATTTGTTAAATTAACGAACAAGTCAGTTAATTAAAATAAATTCGACGTACATTCATCTATGATTTAGCCACCCTTAATGCAGGGCGATTCAGTACAGCAGTTCCAAACTTGGTAAAAGTGATAGGAAGCACCGATAGGATTTATAAATGCGTTGCTCAAATTGGTTAATTGGTTGAAGCTTCATTTCAATTTAAAAAAATGCAATAACTGAAAAATGAATTTAGCCCATCGGTAGAAAATATTTTCCGTTACAAATAAAAGTTTGTTATTGAAATATTTAATCCTTCAAAATACTAAAATGTTGAACTGAAAGAAATAAAAGGAATCTCTATTCTTCTGTCCATTACTAAAATTGACTGAACTTCTTGAATTCAAGCGCTGCTGTTAGAACCGTTATCATGATTCAGAGTATGCTCCGTTACTACGTGTAACCGAACTCGCCAAATTTTTTCATCAAAAAACGGGTAATATTATAGCAGTATTTTTACCACTTTATTATTTAAATAGGTCACTGCGATTCTCGTGTTGGTAACACCGAGGAAAATTTTTTTTCCCTTCCTGTTGCAGGAGACTCAGATCTGCAATAAGGTTTTCTCAACAAGCTACAGTTATTATAAAATTTAATAATATAGTCCGAACCAGGAGTTTTTAAAATTCACTCGAGCGAATACTAAGTGTCCCCACTTCTCTGCTGCTGAGTGGTCGGATGAAGGTGATAATACATTTACATTTATGATGCAATAAATTAAAGTCATATGTTTGTCTTATGTGTTGTGTCCCGCAGTGTACTGATCGTTAAGACATTGTTTCCAGCAGATCACCAAAGTCAAGCAACATTGGCTGCGGTCAGTGTGCGGGTGGGTGCCACTTGGATCAGTCTGCGTAGGCACCGAGGGTGTGCGGTATTGGTCCTCGTTATACTGTTCTACCGTAAAATGCTCGATTTCGCGTGCAGGTCGTCGGGCTACCGAAGCAGGAGTGCCATCCCCTCTGCAGACGATCAAAATTGTGATGGCATGTCTTCGGATTATCCACAGGGATGTTTCCCATACCGTCGCCAATAGCCTATCGTGCAGCTCTAGTGCGACGTAAATGAACTACAGAACAGAACAGATTTCTGTGTTATTCTCAAAAGAGCAGAAAGGTGGATTTATATGTAAAGAAACCTATGCGCTTCACATTCAGGTACACACTCGCAAATATATATATATATATATATGTATATATATATATATA